ATCAAATTTTTCTGTAAAACATCTCAAATTTAATCTCTAATCAAATTCACTTTACTTTTAACTTGCATCTCTTAAACTTTGCTGATAATCTTTAAAAATCCAAAGAATTTCATGTTTTTTAACCTTGAAATCTTCATTCTAAAACGCAATTTTTTTCTTATTCTCATCGCGGTAAAAGTTCTCCTGCATCGCCATTCGTGTCCTGCATGCATTTACCTCGTCCGTGAGCGATTTCTTCCAATTATCGCGTGCGCCGCTCATGCGATCCGCTCGCTCCGCGTCTTCTGATGCGTTTCGCGCGCGCATTTTTATCGCTACATTTTTGCGCCGTGCGCGCTCTTTTTCTTCGGCACGGCGGCGTCTTCGATCGGCGATCACAATGCGTTTCGTAACTGTACGCGTACGCGAACGGTGCTCGGCCATTCGCAGAACTATCGCCGTTCGCCATTTAGCCGACGAACTGCTTCGAATTCCAATTAAAGCGATATAGGAAATGGTTTACTAGAGATGTTGTGGCTGATATACACATGGATTAAACAAAGAGAAGAAAAAACAGGGGCATTAAATGATGTTTTACGTAATCATCCATTAACTATGACAGGTAGCGTGATGAAATAAAAAGGATATGAAAGAGTATTAAATTTGTTTATTAGAAAGGTGTAGTAAAGTGTTTTTGACGTGGTTATTATCACGTGACAGGCGTTTGAAAATTGCATAACTTTTATTGAGAGAAAATTTGTTTTTGTGTTAAATTGATTATAGAAACCAAATTATTAACATTTTGGATACAAATTTTAATGAATATTAAATTAGAATAAATTTGGAATCATCTGAGGTATAATATGTCAAATTTGAACCAAGGGAAAAATATATACAGGGTGTTTAACTTTTACAGAAAAAAATGATGACCAAAAACAGCAATTTCTTAGTTTTTTAATAATAATTTGTAAAAAAAAGTTAGGTAGGGGAATGATCTAAAAATAATATGAAAGAGTATTAAATTTGGCAATTACAGAGATTTATTTTGTAAATTTTGACGTTTTGATAACCACGTGACAGGCGTTTGAAAATGGTGTAACTTTTATGGTTAAAAAATGTGTTTTTTGATGTAAATTTGTTTATAGAGGCTAAATTAAACATTTTTTACATACAATTTTTAACAAATAATAAACTAGAATAAATTCTGAATTATTTCATGTAAAATTTGTTTAATTTGAACTATAGGAAACCAATCTACAGGGTGTTAAACTTTAGCAAAACAAAAATAATTTTCTCAAAAACTGAAATGTTCCAGTTTTTTTGTTATAACTTTAAAAATAGCAACAATATAAACGAAAACCAAAATTTATCTGAAAGTCTATTAAATTTTAGTTAAAACAAATCCATTATTGTTAATTTGAAGCCACTGGTACCAAAGTTACGTGCCTTTAAACATGTGCACTTTAAAAAACTGTCTCTCTTCAATCGAATTCCTCGCAATTTCTCGGGTCTTCCTGCTTAATGAACCCGACATGGCGACGTAATTAAGCGCGTTGATGGATCGCCGAGACGTCGAGAACAAAAACCGAATAACTGTCGCCGCTTGTTACGAATTCTCGGGCGCTCGGCTCAGCGCGGATTGTTGACCAAGTGCGTGCGTCGCGCGGGTAACAGGTAACGCAGGTAACACTACACCACACAGACAACGTACAACATGGTATAACAGACGCGTAACTCTTCCACGTGTCTTTCCTGTTCTTTTTCTTAATCGAAAGAGTTAAGAGTTAAGACTGCCAAAGAGAGAATCGCGTCGCCGTTGTGGCACACGCGAGTCGATTAAAATTAACGGTTTCGGCTTGTTCTGCGCACAGCTCGCACTCCGAAAAGATTTAAATTACTGTATACATTTACATGTGTGAGTTAATTTAGTGAAAATTAAGGTTTGGATAGTAATATGGAGTTTTTTGTTGGTTTTTATAGCGGACGCGTGCAATATGCGCAGTAGTTTTTATGTTGACTTGTTTAAAGTGTTGTAGTTTTTATAATTTTTATTAGATTTTACTAAAGGTAGGAAATTAATGAGTGGTTAATATATTATAAGAAAATAATTGTTTTATTGTATTTTGTTTATTAGATTTAAAGATATGTATTTTTATTTACGCGAAACATAAAAAAAATATGTGAAAAAAATTCTCAAAGTTTGGTAGCGCATAGTTTTGGTACTACTCGTTTGAAACTACTAAATTTAGTATCAAATTAAAGAGAATTTAAAATACTACTAAGGATTAAAAGAATTATTTAGATTGTTTATTTAATTTTTAAATTAATAATAATTTAGTAACATAGTGCAAAAAGGGACTTTTAAAAATATTTTATATTTTGGGGACACATAGTTTTGGAACCACTGGTCAGAAACAAAAAAATTTGACATCAAATTAAAGAGAATTTAATATACTGATAGGATCTTTAAAAATTGTTTATTTAACATTATCACTTTTTAGAATTATTAACAATTTAGTAACTTATTGTTAGAAATACACCTAAAATTATTTTAATTTTTAATTGCCAATAATTCTTGAACCCTTTAACAAAATTAACATATTTTTGCCAAAGATGATAACAAATTTAATAAATAATCCATTAGTTTTTATTTTAAATATTTATCTTTATTAGTTTAGTAGTAATCTTGTGTTAAAGAGTCAATATGATTAATTACAGTTGTGACCTGGTTGACAACATTCCGATCTTTATTATTTCCACGAAATAATTTAAATATTAAGCCTATTTAACAAAACAAACATTAATATTTAATAAATAATAAATTATATAAAAAAATATTTTGAAAAATTGACTTTCTAAAGTAATGAAAGGCTTAATTTTTCTTGCTGTAGTCTTACTTAAGTCATATTAAAGTCATTTTCTGAATTTAAGTCATTCCGAAGACGTTACTCGACTTTAAGTTACCAAACTGGTCAATCGGGTCCGAGTCAACCTCAACCTCGGCGTGGCCTACAAAAAAAATTAAGTCAATCAGCTGGTTATAGCAGTTTTCGGCGATCTTGACATTGCACCGCAATAACTTTCATATTAAACTTTAAGTCTTCTTCAGATTAATTAATTATTCGCTGCATGCTGCAGCTTGTGGTGGATGTGCTGTGGGAAATTTTTTAAGATGTGTAAAATTGATATTCGCACAATCTACGTTTATGCATGTCGTTTGCATTTAACAATCTATAAATAATACTTTATCTCGATGTAGCATGTATCGAATTAACAGTTGTGTTTAGCGGAAATCAATGAATTGCTAAATGATTAATATTTTAAGAAGTACAAATTATATAGGGATAAATTTATTAGTGCGTATTATATATTAAATTCTCTTTAATTTAGAATATAATTTATTGATTTTAGCTGAAGGGATTAGAAATTAAAAGTTTTCAAAGAATTTTAAAATTAAGTTTAATTAAGTTTAGATTTTCTAAAATAAGTTTTTTTTTTTAATTCTCCCACTTTGATGACGTACAGTTTGAGTACCACTGGTCTAAAACAAATAATTTTAACATTTATTTAAACAAAATTTAATATACTATATAGTCTTTAAAGAAATATTTAATAATTTGCATTAGTTTTTAAATTATTAACAATTTAGTAAATTATTGCAAAAAATACATTAAAAAAATTAAATTTTCACTTTGGAGATGCGTAGTTTGAGTACCACTGGTTTGAAACAAATAAATTTGACATTATATTAAACAGAATTTAATATACTATATTTAAGGTAAAATTTATAAATTTTAATTAAAGGGTTTATAAATTATAAGCGCTCAAATTAAAAATGTGATAATAATTGAATTATGTTACAAAAACTCCGATAACCTACTAAATAATGAAGATAACTATTCAAAATAAATTCAATTTTATTCTAAATTAAATTGTCAATAATCTAACATAAAAATTTAATCAGACTATTATATTATTTACTTATAAAAATTAATTTAAAACTAATTTTATAATTTTCAATTATTTTCTGATTCAAAATAATTCTTTTTAATAACACAATGTCGACACGTTTAATAATCCTTCCATTATCACGATATTGTCAAGTTTATCTGCGCTTCCTGCTCATTACAACAACATTTAATTATATTTAAGGTTAACAATAATGACCTAAGTATGGATAATATGAATAACTAGCATTAAGTGCGTGAAATTTGCGCGGTAGCCGCTTGTAGCTGTAGTTTTTTACTCGCGCATTATGCGGCACGTGCCGTTGCCTCTCGTAATTAATTTCTAATTAACATTTTACTCGATGGAGTCTGGAATTTATGCGCGCGCATAACCAACGCAACTCGACGCGCACTTAAACCGTCCATGCGCATCGGGCACGGCACGCACTAAACACATTCAGGCAAATTATTCCAACTATTTCTATTTCTATTGTTTTACAAAGTCTTACAAAGTTTTTACTTTGAGTAAAATTATAGGTAGTGTATTTCAAGATGTGTACAGGTGATTTTTACCATGAAAAATTGCAATTATGCAACCTGGAATGCGTTATAAAACTTATTTGGTGTTAATTACAAATGTACAGGTGTAATTCTTTGGTTTTTGCAATTGTTATGAAATTATTATTTGAGTTACATGATTTTTTTGTGTTTTGTTGCTTAATTTTTGTGTTTGGAAGATGATTACATAAAAACTGTTATTGGTATTATTGTTATATTTGTATCATATTAAAGAGAATTTTATATACTTTAAGACGACTCAAAAATTAATTTGATAGTAAAAGTAGTTTTTGAGTTATTTTTTGAAACAAATATGTTTTTGGCATATTTTTTATTTTTCTTTTTAAATATGCTATAATAATTTATATATAATTAGTGCACTTGTGCATTTACATTCAAAATACATATAATTTAATTCTCTACCTATTCCACAAAGAAAATTTATATTATCACTAATAGTTTTTGAAATATTTTGAATCAAAGTTTATTTTCTAAATAAATTTTCATTTGTTTCAGAATAAAACATGTCCTAACCTCAATACAATGGTGATGTGCACGACGATGGATTCCGTGGTGGTCCCCCGGCCCCCGCCCATAGCTGGCCTCCTCCCTCCCGAACCACCCTCCCATCAAAACGCCAAACGTGTCCCATCCACATCCTCCGGCTTCCGTTTGCTAAACAATGACGCCCAAGACGACACCGGAAGTGTCTACTCGGTGTACAAACAAAAAATCGACCAAATGTTTGAATCAGACTCCTCCCACTCGACGAAGAATAGCGTACAAGCGCGTATCGAGAAAATGTTCACAGATGTCGCCATTGACAATGGTATTCCTATAAACGACATCGGTGTGCATCACTTTTCGGTTGATTATTTGGGTAGTATTCCTCTGGGTGAAAAGGTCACCAGTTTAGCAGGTTTGCAAAGTCCTTTGAAGGATTTATACTTTGCATATCGGAAGAAATCTGAAAGAATTTCAAAGGTGCAAAGGGGAGGATTAACCGGAAAACTTGAAATTTCTGCACATGGGTTAAAAGTGCAATATTTGGGTGAGAAAGGTGATTTGGAGCAGTTGAATTCATTTCCTACTATAGCTGTATGGTCAGCTGTCAAATTCGTCCTTCAGGATGATTTCAACTTTGCCTTTTTACCCCTAATAACCGATCCGGATAATTTAGACAAACAACAATTGTTTAAATCTTTATCCACACAAGAAAAGAAATATATCACATTAGGAGACAGTCATTCTCCTCTGTTTGCGGTGGTAATGCGTAAAATCGGGGTTCACAAACAATTGGAATGTCATGGGTTTGTATGTCAGACCTCCGAGGATGCGATTGTCATTGCCGCAACACTGTACAAATCCCTAATGGCGCACATGAAGGCCAAAGAAAAGAAGGTCCCCAAGAACCGTAATGGCGTCACTTGTATGTCCGTTGCATCCTCATCTTTCCACGACAACCTTTCACATCCTGTTCGACCACCCAGGAAGAAACGCTCTTCGAGTGGTACCATGGAGAGTGGGACTTCTTCCATGATGAGTGATTTTGATGTACTTGATGGTGATGCCGATACGCAACCATTGATTAACAGCGGTAATGGTCATTCTGATATGCAGAAAGAAAAGAAGAAGGATAAGAAGAGAGCACCGCAGAGGCCCAATCAGGGACATGAGGATCTAGATGCTATATTGCCTTATGAAGAACCCAATGAAGTGAAGGTTCCTCTGGGGGACAAATGGAATACGTTTATTAGTAACCATCAGAAGCAAATAACAGCTGAGATTAAGCAGGTTATGAGTGAGAGTACTAATATGGGTCTGAAGAGGGTGAAGAGTTTGCGGAAACGGAATGAAGAGTTGAAGAAAACAGACAACACCGGGGATATCCTCACGAAGGTTACGATTCCAAGGAGTGGGAGTTTCCTCAACGCCGGAGGATTGACTAGGTATAAATCTAAAGTGCATAGGTTAGTATATCTCTGAATTTTCTTGTAGAAAACGCTTAAATTTGATCATTTTCTTCATTTCCAACCACATTAATAATTTTTATGCGTTTTGTTAATGTTATTGTTGTTTTTAGACTAAATGGTCAAGCAACTGGAGGTTCCCCATTGGGTTTCAATGAATTGTTCAACGAATTCCGTCTGCAGGAAGGTCTCCACTCCATGGACGAAATCCTAGGTGTAATAATCGATCCTGAAGGGATGTCCTTCAACGACCTCAAGCCAATCTACAAGGAATTCCTCCTGAAACTATCTGTAACCCTCACAAAAGATGAACTCTACCAACGATCAAAGAGTATCATGCGTCGCCAAAAGAAGAAACTCCTTCGTCGCAATTTTCCTCCACAAACACACAAGAAACGAGTTGTTTTGGGTTCGAAATTCAAGAAACTCAAACATGTTTTCCAGAAAATCAAAAAGGCTCCTCTGATAAAGATAAAGACAAAGATCGAGACCGGGATCGTAGCAGGGATTGTGAGAAAGACAACAGAAACAGAGGCAGTTCATGTGGGCATAGCCACCATGACAAAGCAATTGTTTTAGAAACGAAAATCCCGGAGAGTTCCATTTCGAGTAGTAGTTACGACACTCGACACTTCACACCCAAAGAACATGTGACTCGTCAACGTATGGGTCATTCCAAACGGAGCAGTCGCAGAGAACTAAGACACAGCACCTCTGAAGAGAGTGATTTTTTTAGTCTGCGACGCCGGAACCGCAACCACAATCGTCACAGCTCTTCCGGCTATGTATCATGTTCTGAATGCAGTTTTGATTCGGATACGTGTACTTGTATGTCTGCTGATAAATGCTACTGCTCGTTGGGACATCACAAAGGCAAGTGTAAAGAGGGTCAGGGCCATGCCCACGGTCACACACATCACGACCATGATGAAGTATCGCTGACATGGTGTGGATGTGATACGGATTCATGCACGGATAGTAATAAGTGTTACTGCCCGATTACAACACCAGCATTGTCGCATAAAGGACACGGCCAGGGTCAAAATGCGACGATTTTTGACCAGTTACGACAGAGAGGTTTTATTCCATCAAGCGAGAGTAATACTGATGAACCTTTGAACCGGAAGCTGTGTAAAAAGTACTCGAATACTAAAAGTTCGAAGAGTTTAGAATTCGTGCACAATCCGACTGATTATCAACCTTTGGATTATGAAAAGCATTTCTGTCAGCAGGAACATATCCAGCAGCAGGTTGCAATGCAACGTATGCAGACCCCAACGAGGAATCAAAAGAAATCACAGGAGATTGCAGCGTTATTCGCTGATATTAAATTATCATCTCCTAGGTCGAAATTGGTCGGGAGTACGCCGCGTGCGCATTATTCCCCATCAGATTATTACAAACCGAAAAATTTAAACCAACGCATGATTGCCAATAGTCTCTACAGTGTTAATCCCTATGAGAAGGCATTTGGGAGTGGTCCTATGCCTGTTAATCCTTTGGGAGCTGGAAAGATTAATAATAATCATTTGTATTCGACGAAAAATGGTTTGTACACTATACAATCACAAAGTGATGATAGTAGCAACGGGAGGAAAGACTTTGCGAGAAGGAGTATGAATGGGCAGCATGCTCAGCTAAGCAGGGAGAGGGAATTTAAGGGCACGAATGGAATTCAAGGACATCACGTCCAGCAAATGGTTGCTAGAGTGCAAAATTCTAGTTTAGAGAATTCACTGGGATATCTACCTTAAGTAACCTTAACCTTAAGCAAGGTTAGTAAGCAAGGGTTATGTTATATGTTTAAGGGTTGATATGATTGTATATTGAGTGCTTTATATACTGGGTGTTCTGTAAACTTGATTTTTATGATCAAAGCATGAAATTGTTGCGTTTTAAATTGATTTTTCGCAACACTCAGTACATGTAGCCACACAAAGACTAGGGGTACTTTGTTGGGGAAACATTTTTATACCGGGTGCGCTGGTAAATCTAGTTAACATACGTATTAACCTACATTGTTCATAATTTCATTAAGTTCTAGATTTAATTCACTCCTAAAACTCGAAATTATGCTTGTTTTTGTCAATTAAATGCAAATTTAGTTAACAAAAGCAGCTGATGTTGTTGGACGAGCTTATTTTTAGTTGATATCTGTGGTTTTAGTTAGTTTTTGAGTGCAATACAAGCAATTTACGTGCAATATGTGTAATGATGTGCAATAATTTTATAGTCGCTATATATTTAGAAATAAGCGCATTATTTAATTATAATGTTTAGTTCAGAAATGTAAAATAAGGTTTAGTTTATATAATTAACTATGGATAAGTGCAATATTTTATTTTATTTACGATTTCTTTTTGTATTGTTAAGACTGTTAGTCTGCATGTTATGATTGATTTTTATATAAACATTTATAATGCAATGATCAAATTTATTTGTGTTATATGAACGGCGGTAATAAAGATATTTTCATTATTTATTGTTAATTATTTTACCCTGTATATTATACTGGAAGAGTTCCTTCATCGTTTGCGGCCCTTTGCGCATCTCCAAAGGGGCCAGATATACCCTAAAATTGCTTTTTTTCCCTTTTCTGGTATTTCTCCCAAACATACCATGGAAAACGCCCTGTATCTCCGGTGTTTCTAGATTAATTTTATTGTTCTTTTCATTATTTAATAGAAGAAGAGTTCTTCTATCATTTGCTATATCTTTCTAGTTTCTAAAGGGCCTAGAAGTGCCCTTAAATCAACTTTGAAAAACTGCTTCTACTGAAAATATTCAAAACACGCCGTGGAAAACGCCCTGTATCTCAGGTGTTTCTGGATTAATCTTATTGTTCTTTCCATTATTTAATAGAAGAAGAGTTCTTCTATCATTTGCTATATCTTTCTAGTTTCTAAAGGGCCTAGAAGTGCCCTTAAATCAACTTTGAAAAACTGCTTTTATTGAAAATGTTCAAAACATGCCGTGGAAAACGCCCTGTATCTCAGGTGTTTCTGGATTAATCTTATTGTTCTTTTCATTATTTAATAGAAGAAGAGTTCTTCTATCATTTGCTATACCTTTCTAGTTTCTAAAGGGCCTAGAAATGCCCTTAAATCAACTTTGAAAAACTGCTTTTATTGAAAATGTTCAAAACATGCCGTGGAAAACGCCCTGTATCTCGGGTATTTCTGGCTCAATTTTACAGTTCTTCTTATTATTTAGTAGAAGAAGAGTCCTTCTATCGTTTGCTATATTTTTCTGCTTCCATAAAGGCACCGAAATGCTTTAAAAATGCTCCTGAAAGTTTGCATTTTTGGTCCATTTTTTCGTGGAAGTGTGAAATTTTTTCGTCGAAATTATTAAAATTATTGCGAAGTTTTGTCGAAACCAAACAAAAATCTGTTGAAACTTTTTAACCTCCTCGACGTTCTGGGTTCCTGATACCACAACTCCATTTTTCCATTAGTTTTCGACCTGAAATTGGTCGCGTACAAAGAGAGAGAGCGAGACAGACGGAACTAAGAGATCTCTCTCTCTATCGAAAATGTCATGCACATCGCGCGAGAGAGAGGGAAACACAGAAATGAGAGATCTCTATCTCTATCGAAATTGTCATGCACATTGCGAGAGAGAGAGAAACACGAAACTGAGATCTCTCTCTCTCGCCCTCGGGAGAGAGGGAGAAAAATTAATTTTTAAACTCAGTCAAAAGTCCCGCGAAATATTTCAGTCTCCTCAACATTCTGAGATCCGGATAACATCAACCAATTTTCCTATTGATTTCGGCCCGAAATTTGTCTAATTTAGCTGAAAACCAATGGTAAAATCGGTTGATGTTATCCGGATCCCAGAATGTTGAGGAGGTTAAAAATTTTTGCGGGATCTTCGCACGAATTCGAAATAATTCCGAATTATTTTTAAGAACTTCGCCGGGAATTTCCAGATTTCATGAAAGAAAGTGCCAAAAATGCAAATTTTATGATCATTTTAAAGCATTTCTGAGCCCTTTAGAAGGCAGAAAAGTATAGCAAACGATCTTCTTCTACTAAATGATAAGAAGAACGGTAAAATTAAACCAGAAACGGCCGAGATACAGGGCGTTTTCCACAGCATGTTTTGAAAATTTTCAAAAGAAGCAGATTTTTAAAGTCGTTTTTAAGGTACTTCTAGGCCCTTTAGAAACTAGAAAGGTATAGCAAATGATAGAAGAACTCCCCTTCTATTCAGTAATGAAAAGAACAATAAGATTAATCCAGAAACACCTGAGATACAGGGCGTTTTCCACGGCGTGTTTTGAACATTTTCAGTAAAAGCAGTTTTTCAAAGTTGATTTTAGGGCACTTCTAGGCCCTTTAGAAACTAGAAAGGTATAGCAAATGATAGAAGAACTCTTCTTCTATTAAATAATGAAAAGAACAGTAAGATTAATCCAGAAACACCTGAGATACAGGGCGTTTTCCATGGCGTGTTTTGAATATTTTCAGTAAAAGCAGTTTTTCAAAGTTGATTTTAGGGCACTTCTAGGCCCTTTAGAAACTAGAAAGGTATAGCAAATGATAGAAGAACTCTTCTTCTAATAAATAATAAAAAGAACAATAAAATTAAACCAGAAACACCAAAGATACAGGGCGTTTTCCACGGCATGTTTTGAAATTTTTTATAAAAAGCTGTTTTTAAAGTCGATTTAAGGGTACTTCTACACCCTTTAGATAGCAGACCGATATAGCAAACAATACAAGAACTCTTCCTCTCAAAAATAATAAGGAGAAAGGTAAAATTAATCCAGAAACACGCAGGATACAGGGCGTTTTCCACGACAAGTTTTTCTACTTGTAAAGTTTTGGTCTAGACTGACATCTATCGGCGAGATACTAAAGTTTGAAAGCTTATATAGCGCTCTACACACAGCCTTGAAAAAGTTTAGTGATAAGGGTTTTTAATCGACAGATGGCACTAGTAGGTACCATTTCACTAATTTTTCGTTCAAATTCAACCAATAATTTAATGTTTATAAACTTTTAAATGTATTTTAAGGCACTACTAATAGATTTACGGAGTCAGAAGGATGTACATTCTATAAAGGGTCTCTTTAACTATAAAATGATAAAAAGAACCCATAAATTGTGCTATTTTTGCAGCAGTTACTGGGTGTTTTCTACTGCAACTCTTAGAAATTAAAAAAAAGCAAATGTTTACAAAAAATAGTTAAGTTTATTATCAGACACATATTACAGACTTAAGATGTAAAAAGAATACAAAATAATACTTTGAAGTCTAAGCGTTTATAATGCTGTAATCTAAAACTGTCTTTTTATGCTTACTAAAACAATGAACAAGTTTGATAACTTATAAAAAATGAGTATGTAGCTTTACTAGCGGCCGTAAACTGTTAACAGCCTTCAAATAGCATCCTCATCATCATCTCTTCATCAACATCTTCACTTCATTCAGACTAAACTTAAATCTACACATCAGGAACGTTCGTTGGCTTCGTTTGCATTCCATTCAGATTAATCTCGTACATGCCATCCTGCCCTGATTCACTTTTCACAGAAAAGTTCTTCTTAACACCTCTTGGAGGCGGCATAGGCGGCTGTTTCTCCCTGCGATAGAACCGAATAGGATGCGCAAGCACCCATTCCTTAAATCTAGTACCAACTCGATAGAAATGAAAATAGATCAGGAACAAAATTAAGGAAATTGCTAAAAAAGATAGCAATGAAATAAAGATGGAAGAAGTAGGGGAATACGTTGGTTTTTCGGTGCCATCCGCATTGAGAAGATCAGCATCATCTGTGTCTGTTATCTCGTTGTAATCATCATCCGATGCATCCTTGGATCCTATTTTAATATCAGCACATGCACGGAACTCTTCTTGTGGACCACAACCAACAGCGCCGGTGCCATTCGGACAATTTCCCCAATTATTACCTTAAAATGATGAAGAAAAACATTAAACATTAGTTTTAAACTTTTAATATCCTAAAAACGCCCTGTGTTTTGGGTATTTCTGGTTTAATTTTACCGTTCTTCTTATTATTTAATACAAGAAGAGTTTTCTATCGTTTACTGTATTTTTCTGCTATTTAAAAGACATGAAAAAACGTCTTAAAAATTTGCATTTTTACACATTTTTACTTTCAAATCTGAAAATTTCCGGCGAAGTTCGTAAAATTGATTCGAAATTATTTTGAATTCGAGCGAAGATCGCGCAAAAATTTTCTACCTCCTCGCATTTCTGAGATCCGAATAACACAACCAATTTTGTCATTGATTTTCGACCCAAAAATTAATTTAATTTAAGACTGAAAACCAATAAAATTGATTTGTGTTATTCGGATCCCAGAAATGCGAGGAGGTAGAAAACTTTCGCAGGATTTTCGACTGAATTTGAAATTCAATTTCTTCTCTCTCCTCTCTTCACTACCTCTCTCTCTCTCTCTCGATATGCATGACAATTTCGGGATCGAAAACCAATGGTAAAATTAGTTTGTGTTATCCGGATCCCAGAATGTCGAGGAGGTTGAAAATTTTTGCGCGATCTTCGCACGAATTCAAAATAATTTCGAATCGATTTTAAGAACTTCGCCGGAAATTTTTAGATTTGAATGTAAAAATGTGTTAAAAATGCACATTTTCAAAGGCATTTTTAAGACGTTTCTATGTCCTCTAAAAAGCAAAAAAGCACAGCAAACGATAGAAAAACTCTTCTTCTATTAAATAATCAAAAGAACAGTGAAGTTAAACCAAAAACACCCGAGATACAGGGCGTTTTCCACGGCATGTTTTGAAAATTTTCATAAAAGAGCAGTTTTTCAAAGTCGATTTAAGAGCACTTCTAGAGCCTTAAGGAAGCAAAAATGTACATCAAACGATAGAAAGACTCTTCTTCTCTTAATAAATAAAAAGAACGATGAAATTAATCCAAAAACACCCAAGATATAGGGTGTTTTCCACGGCATGTTTAGAAAATATTCAAATAAAGTAGTTATATAAAATTGTTTTAAGGGCACTTCTAAGCCCTTTAGGAAGCAGAAAAGTATTGAGAACGATGCAAGAACTCTTTCTCTCTTAAATGATAAAAAGAACGGTAAAATTATTGCAGAAACACCCGAGATACAGGGCGTTTTCCACGGCATGATCTATAAATTTCAAAAAAAGCAGTTTTTCAAAGTAAATTTAAAGGCACTTCGAAGTCCTTTAGGAAGCAGAAAAATTACCAAACGATACAAGGACCCTTCTTCTCTTAAATAATAAAAAGAATTATAAAATTAATCCAAAAACTCCCGAGATACCGGGCGTTTTCCACAACATGTTTTGAAAAATTACATTTAAGAAGCAAGAGCGTATAATAAACGATAAAAGTGTTACTTTAAAGATGCAAGCAGAAAAAATATATTATTACCTGCTATATATCTCCATTGAAGCATACAATGCGCGCAAGATATATCCGGAAGTCGATACTTCATCTCATAAACTTTATTTCCGTCTTTCGGATAATACCGACTATTATGATGCTCCATGCCATCTTGTGGTTTAACAATCTTCAAAATATTCTTATCTAAACACTCCTGATTCCCTGTTTTGTAGTTGGGGCACACAGCGAACTCAAAATACCCAAAATGGCTGGCGGTCAACTCCACCCGGATGTTGATCACTTGCTTCACACGATATTTACGAACGATCACGCCTTGACCGTAGGTACCGCCGTATTCATGAGCCCTAGGTGTTCTAAAATTCAAATAAAAAAATGAATTCAATAGTGAATTAAAAGAAGTAATTAATGTGTGATTTACTTAGCATCCCATGCATCTCCGCAGACGCCACACTTGCCGCCGTTCTTCTGCCACTGGCGGCTGAAACCGCCGCAGTAGAGCTCGTGGTCGTTGTAGTTGTGCGGCGTGTCGAAACCGTAACGCCAGGCGGAAGCGCGGCTGGGCGGCTCGATTAGTCGGCCGTGGCCGGCGGCGAGAACGATTAATTGGCACGAGACCACGATGCACATCAACGTTTCTATAAATTGAGAACAAATAAATATTTACACATATTTACAAAGTGTTTGGAAATATTTAAATTAAAAAATTGTGATAATTTTAAATTTTTGTTAATTACTGGAAAATTAAGCACAAAAGGCATGATTTGATCAACTATTCTAATAAAGAATTTTCCGTAGAATCGGAATCTTCAATCCGTTCCTTTCTGTCGCTTTTAGTTTCCGAGATATCCGCAATCAAAATATTGCAGATTTAAAATTTTTACAAACTTACAAAAAAAGGATCAATTTCAATCAAGGATTAACACAAAAGTATTAATGATATTTTAAAATTTCTTGAAGTATGTTATCCTACAGTTTATTATCTTTAGTACCTGCAAATTTTATTAAATTTTGTTGAGGTTTGCAAAAGTTACAACAAATTTCGTGTCACTTTCATTAAAGAACTATTTTTTCAGTCAATTTCTTTAGATATTTCTGTTTGTAGGCAAAATATCTTGTTAACTTATATTAAATATAATGTCAGTGAAAGTTTTCCATAGTCTCAAACAAATTTAACGTGTTTATTCACGATTCCGTGCAAATTATCGCGTTTCTTGTCGCTTTTCAGCGTCGTTTTCGATTTTCTACGAGCGCAGGTCGCGTTCGCTTGTTTTCTATCACCGTTTTCGCTCTCAAATTGTTTTACAGTATTTTATTTCTCTCATCGTGCATCCAGCATTCACTCCAGTCACGAACCGGCGTTCTTCCAAGTCCATTGTGTTGCAAACACAAAAAACAATACAAATCACAAGAAACTTCATAACTTCATCACACAAAAGTTACGTTCACTTTTAGATTCGCATTTTAAGGTTGTTTAAGTTTAAGTCGTAAGCTGGTTCAAGATCAAAACATGAACAAGAAGAAAAGAAAAGAAAAGAAAAACAAATTGTTTTATTTAGATTTTGTGCCATTGAACGTAATGCGCATTATTAATCATTTCTGGTGGTTGACAGTGTAACAATAATGAATAATGCAGGATGCATTACTTGATGAAACCAAGTTTCTTCCGTTTATCATTAAAAACTACTTAGAAACGCAAAAAACTCGTTAGATATTAGCTAAAATAAAATAAAAACCAAAATAAGTTCGGATTAAATTGAATTCTGATTGATATTTCGTACAAATTGACAGAATTTGTGGAATTTGCATTATCAACTCTTTGAATTTTCTTGATTGAAATAGTTTATCATATAGAGAATTTTCCAAGGATTCAGAATCTCCAATTCGTTCATTTTTATCTCTTCTAGTTTACGAGATATTCGCAATCAAAAAAAAACTCGTATAAAATGAAAATGCGCACTTTTAAACACGATTTCAGAACTGTTACCAAATAAATTTTGATCAGTTTCTTTTTTTATCTTATAAAGAATTTTCTGAAGTTTCATAATCTTTAATCCGTTAGTCGTTATCAGTTTTAGTTTAGAAGATATTAACAAAAATAAAACAAAACCAAAACAGGTTGAAATAAAACTGAATTCTGCTTGATATTTGATACCAAATTAATATAATTGGTTGAATGATTGCGTAAATATTACAAATTCAAAATTTTCAACTCATTCACTATGAGATACGTAACATTTAATAACAGCACGTACGAAATTACAAATACTGCACGTTTGAAAGTTTTAACTACAAAAATAGGCAAAGAATGAGGAATAAAGAACAAAACACAATAAGTAGTAGCAGTAACTAGTATTAAGTATGTTTATGCATACTAATGATTAATTGGAAACTTAATAATAATAGATACTTATTAGTTACTGTTGTATCTTCAAATAATCATATTGAGTTTATTGAGTTTATTGAGGTTTTGGTGACTTCTTTGCCATTTTATCGCGGAATATTTTACGAAACGGTTTAAACTTGTTTCCGATACATGTGATTTCGTTTTAACCGTTACGAAATTGTGTGTTAAGTCAACACACATCGACTCTAGTTAAGTTAAGTTCAGGTTAAGTTCTTCAAGAGTTGATTTAACCTGTTTTATTGCACGAAAAACTTAATTAGCGCTAATTGAATGTTAAAAGTGTAAAAAATTAATGAAAAAAACGAAATATTGAACAGAAACTCAATTTAACCTCAAAACTTACTTAAAATTAATAACTAAACATAAAATATGTTTTGTTTCAAATGACATATTTAGATTGTTAAAATCAATTTGTGTTGCTTTCACAAAACTTGTGTTTCATACTCAAATGAGCCAAATAAACAAGAAATTTAATATGATGTGGAAATAAGTACCAACTATCTAGCTAGATGGCAATTTATTATTACTAAATAAAGATTTTTACTTAACTTTATGCTTGATAGTTTTCGAGTACGTGGGAAACCATTCCAAGTCAAGTTTACATTCAAACGCAACCAAAACAAAATAACTTTTAATTTAATCGCTAAACAAGAGAAAATTTAATGATAAACTTTAATGTCCCACAACTGTCCCTATCAAGCAATTAAAAACAAATTATCTTAGTGCTTTTAAACGTGTTAACTTGTTTTCATTTTCATTTTATTTCGCAATCATTCATTACTCAACATTTTTCATACAATTAGAACATAAAACTGCTCTAAACTGTCGAAAAAGTGTTTTGCATCTTTGATAAACAATATCTTTTAAAATATTTAAGTTATTAACAGAATTCTTTTACTAAGTTATAGAACATTATTTTTTGTATAAGTACTGTAAATTTCATGTTTGTATACAGAGTGGTCTACGAATTATCATTAAAAGTGTAAAAATTGTGCTCAAATACAATATTTTTTGTTTTTCATACTTTGATAAACAATAACTGTTAAATTAATTAAAATATTTTAAAAATTTCTTCAGCATTCAAACGAGTATTAATTTTTATACAAATAATGTAAATTTCATGTGTATATACAAAGTGTTCTAAGAATTATCGTAAAAATAAAAACAAAAATTGTAAAAAATTGGAATTTTTAGTTTTAAACGTGTTAATTTGTTTTCATTTTCATTTTATTTCGCAATCATTCATTACTCAACATTTTTCATACAATTGGAACATAAAACTGCTCTAAACTGTCGAAATAATTTGTTTAAAATGCTTATAAACCGTAAAATTTTATTCACAACTCCATAAAAAGTATAAGACATATATTTATGCGTCCGAACAATTCACATGTTCATCAAAGTGTGTAAATTTAGTAAATTGTGTAAAAACACTTCCTTCCTTGCTTTCTTCATTTACATTCGCATTTGCATTCAATTCCAACCGAAGCTTTCGTTTACAAAAAATGCATTTACATTTTATTTTAATTTCTCCTCATATCTGGAACAAATTACAATATTTGCTAATATGTAAATGTTACAAAATTAATTCAGAAATTAATTTTAATTGAAAAATAAAAATTTTGTTTTCATCTTTATTTTTTACTAAAAACCTAAAAATAATTAATTAAATAGATTAGACTTAAATAAGAAAAGTAAGGTTAGAATTGTTACAGTTGTTGACTTTTGTGTGTATGCATTGTTAACTTTTCTCTTGTTTTGTGTAATTTTGCTTGCGTTGCTTGCAAAATGAGTGCACAACATTGTTGTGAATGTGTCAATAGTGCAAGACTTCAACATCCACATCAACAAGACTAACAAGAAGTTAAATTGAAGATGTTGAGATGATTTCTTTCATTATTAACTCGCAATGTTGACATTTATGATATTCTTCGTTAATTTGAGATTGTGAAACGGTTTCGAAATGTTTTGCAATCAAATTAATTTCATTTGCAACGAACGAAGTGAATGCGATGCAAATTCATTTTATTGCAAATGTTTTTTGCATTTTAAGTGACAGTGACATGAAGGCAATGGCAGAAATGATTTTCTGGTGAAAACTATGCGGATTTGTGACATGAATCGATTCGAAAAGCATCAATTGATGAGAAAGTGTTTTGAAAATTGTTTTGCATACTTTGACGAGCGATAACTTTCAAAGTTTTTAAGTTATTTACAAAATTCTTTTAATGAGTCGAAGATCATTAATTTTTGTATAAATAGTGTTAATTTTATGTGTGTATACAAAGTGTTGTGAGAATTATCGCAAAAATACAAAAATTCAACAAAAAATACAGTTTTGTTTGTTTTTCAAACTTTGATAAACAATAACTTTTAAATTGTATAAAATTTTTGTAAAATTTTTTCACAATATGAAAGAACATTAATTTTTTAATCAGTAGTGTAAATTTCACGGTATTATATAAAGTGGGCAAAGAACTATCGTAAAAAATACAATAATTGTTCAAAAATTACCTTATGTTGAATATTGTTGAACTTTGACACTTAATAAAATAAAAAATATTAATTATATCTTAATTATTTTTGAACTTACTCAAAGAACATGTATTGGTTTACATGTGAACCAAATTTGGTAAATTTCTACTGAGTGGTACAGAAAATACAACAAAAACCGTAAAAATTGCACTTTTTCATAGAAATCGACTTAACTTAAGTATGTTTAATATTCATACTATATTATAATAATCCAAGAACCAGTTTAGCTACGAATATTTTTCGGCAGTAAATGAGTCACCATGATAAGCACTTCCTGCACTTCTGACGTACACACCTAAATATTTAGACTCTCAATCATATTTCGCGCAAATTTGCCGAAAACCTACTTAAGTAACTTTAACGCAAATTAAATTAACTTAAACTAAAGTAATTTAAAGTAATTTTAATACTCACTTGACATTTTGTAGATTTCCGTCCTCGGAACAAGTTAAATCAAGTAACTTAAAAACACATTGCTTAAAACTTTACTTAAGTCAAGTTTTAAGTCGTTGATCTTGAAGGTTTTGAACTTATATTGAACACCTTGAATTAGTTCAATTCAACTCACCGCAACTTAAGTCACTGGACTTTTTTATATGGTAAGTCAAGTTAATAAACACTCCTACACTGTGTGTGACTTAAGTCACCAAAATTTAAGTAAAATCTATTGTTTTTTAAACCACACACATTAAATATATAAAAAAAGAGAAACAAATACACGAAATGCAAATGTGATGGCGTTACGTTAGCCTACATTTCGTGCGCCGATGTCTTCGGCGACTGAGTAGCGAAGTGACTTAAGTAATTTTAGTCTTGCGGTCATGCAGCCCGCCGCTTCTTCCACTATCCGACACACTCGAAAGCCGCGACAGCGTGCTGGCAGACTGGCTCACTTTACTTTACTGAGTAATGTTACTTAAGCCGAAGAAGTGGAGGAAGTTTGGAAAGAAACAATTACTGCCGTGCACTCGACATACACAAAGCTCATACGAGCACATTCATTCTTCAGCTGTTGGTCAAGCCAGCAGCTACACAACTTGACTTAAGTTAAGTCAAGTCGAAGTCGAAGTATGCTGTTGGTAACCCGTTACACGGAAGACTGGCTGTTGGAATTGCTAGTCGGCGAAGAGTCACCTTGGGGGAAGAGTTATTTGGGTCTATACAGAGTGACTTAAAAAGTGACTTAAGTTTAGGTAAAGTTTAAAGTGAAATAACTCGGAAAGTATAAGAGATAGAGAAATTTTGTTTTTTACGGATGGAAGATAAACTAATAGAGTATAAATAACAGTTATTATCAATAAAATATACTGAGTATTTCAAGAATTATAAACATTTTAAAAGAAGAAAACAATTTTTCTTCCAAAAAATTTTTATAGTAACTTTAATTGTTAATATCTAAAAAACTACAATAAATTTTAATATTTACCATCACAAAATATAGCTAATTATCTACCAATTTACCAAATTTCAACCAAAAATATTTAACGGTTTGAAAGATATTTAAAAGTATAAATTTTGTGTTTAACTAAAAACAAAAAATCTAGTAACACTCATTTGCAATAATTACATGAACTTTAAAGTCAAATTACTCGGAAACTACAAGAGATAAATTAATTTTCTTTTTAGCATATTAAATATACACTAATTAACTATAAATTACATTTGGCAATAATAAAATATACTTAGTGTTTCATTAATTACAAAATTTTAAAAATATATATTTTTGCCTGCAAAAAAACAAGTTCTTACTTTAATTGTTAATAACTTAAAAACTATAATAAATAATTACACACTCTTTTTACCATATTAAAACATAACTAATAATCTATCAACTCACCAAATTTTAGCTGAAAATATTTACCGGTTGCTGAGTAATTCCAAAATGAAAATCCTCCACTCAACTAAAAACTGTGAAACTGGCGACACTTGTTTGTCATAAATATCCATCTCTATTTATTATTACTCTCCACTTTTCCGGCTGTATTTATTTATTTTTTCGCGCCGCACGTTAATATATCCAGCATCCTCTGTCGCTGGAAGTCGATGAAAGCCATGCGAGCCGATTTTTTTTCGCGCCGCGCCGCATCTCCTGATAAATTTAGAAGAACACACATTGATTACGGTCGCATGGTGCGAACACATCAGGCGATGCGTGTTACCAGCTTTCCTTCCTGGAGCCATTCGTCCGTCAGCGGCGGCGGTGATTCGGGCCGTCGTCGGCTTCATTTCCAGGGTGCGTCGACTTCCAGCGATGGACTTTTATAAACCCGGGAGAAGCGCAGAATGTGCAACAAACATAAATATCGCTTTTTCAGGGCAACCAGCTACTTGTACACTGAAATAACGTCAAAGTTTCCAACTCTAAACAAATCTGCGGCTAGCTCCGTGGAATTCCAGAGCAGAAATAAAATTCTGAGAGGAAATTATATAAATTTTCTTGGTTTATGTTTAGAGGTTTGAGTGGAGAGCATTTTGAAAAATTTTAAGGAACTTACTTCAACTTTAAACATGAATAACTTGGAAAATAATTTGTTTAAACCAAAAGTGTTTATAACAAATGAAAATATAGCTATTACTTAGTTTTAACATAATTTTTGTTAAAATATATAGGGTGCTGCAATAATTACGATGATTTTAAAAATATTTTCGTATTTTGCGGCATCTTATTTTCCTAAAAACAAATTTCAACTTTAAACAAGAATATCTTCATAAATAATTAATTTAAATAAAAACTGATTTCAGGACTTAAAAGTGCAACTATTCCTTAGTATACTGACAAAATTTTATCAAATAATACTGAGTGTTACAATAACTATGCATGTTTTTAAAAATTATTCCAAATTTTTGTCCCCTAATATTTTTTTAAAGAAACCTCAATTTTAATATCAAATAACTTAAAAACAATTAAAGATAAATGCAAAATCTTTTCAATAAATGATGGTGCAGCTAATTTTTTATAAGTGAAATTAATTTGATAATTATATACAAAGTGTTGTAAAAGTTACAGCGTTTTGAAGTAACAGTTGTTTCACAACAGTTTTATCTTCACCTACAAGTTTACTAGCAGTGTAAACTACTTAAATTAGCCACTAACCTAATTTTAAGCCTCTTGGCAAGCTAATGTTTGTTTCTTGGCTTATCAAGCTTCACCCAGCGCCGAAATTAACACCTCGTGAATTTCTATTGTCTCCTCGCCAAAAGTTTTGTGTTAAGTGTTCACCATGAACGCATTTAAACAAAAACATCAACTAAAAATTATTATTTAAATGAAAATATTTATAAACGTATTATATATTATTATTTAAATATCAATAGGTAGTTGATAGATGCATTTGAAGTATAAAAAATATAAAAAATCAAATGCTTTTAATGTTTTTTCCTACTTTTTTAGATTTTATCTTTTTAGTAACGACGAAAAGCGCCGAAAAGTCGTAAACTTCAGGCGTCGAGTTTGCGTCGAAGCGTTCAAGCATACAGGCGTCAGAAGTCCTTCAAGGCGACACCTATTTTTGACATTTATTAGCGTCAATTGTTAATGATTTGCCGTTTATGATGAGATTTTAAATTCTACGAAAAATTTTATTACAAGAAAATTCAAATCTTAACTTTGATTTAAGATTATTTCAAAAGAATTATTTATAAACAAATAATTCTTTTGGCATATTAAAATATAGTTAAATATGCGTCAATGTGTAGATTTTTATAAAAATATCTCAAAAGTTGCAAAAATTATTGACGTTTTAAGAAAAAAATGCAAAAATCAATTTAAAATTTGTTAATGTTATTTTGACAGCGAATAACTTGAAAAGTAATTATTATAAATAAATTATCTTTTCACTATATTAAAGCTAAACTAATTGTTAATCTCTAACACGAATTTCATTAATTTATACAGGGTCATTCAAAAGTTATCATAAATTTAAATTAAAAAAACACTAAAATAATTTCATTTTAACAAAAAATAATTAATGTGCACTTTGTTTTCTTATAACTCAAAAACTAATAAATATAAACAAAATATTTTCCCCCATATGAAAGAACAACTAAATAACTATAACCTCCAAAGTTTTCACTAAATTTCACAAGTTATTATAAAAGTTACATAAACTTTAAAAATCCGTGTTTATTTTCACACAGTCTCTTTGTTTTCACAAGTTCCACATATGATTTAAGCCGTCTTAACTCACAAACTGAACCCAAACTCCACCCACATTCCCCTCGGCGAGCTTTAGCACATCACATCACACGCGTGTTTGGTCGCGCTTAAACTGGGCGTGCACACCGAAATGACTTAAGTCACATCTCCGTCTCTATCCCACTGCTCCAGACGCTCATCCAGACGCAAATCGCATTAGCCTATGCGGTGTCTTTCAGCGCCGCTTCATTTCTCACTCAGCACGCGCGCTCGCACTCACTCCGACTTAAGTCAAGTCAAGTTTAAAAATATTCGGGAAGCGCCTCGTCCGCGCCCTCGCCGGCGAGCGACAGACAGATGCCCGCGAGCCGCTGAAAAGCGAAAAACTTTTCAGCTACTACAGCTACTGCTGCGGTGAGTGTGGTGCTTAAGTTAAGTCGTGCTGAAGCTTAGTGTGCGCGCAAAAATTCTCTCAACAAGGTGCGATCGGACAAATCGACGCGACGAAACGGATCGATGTTAGTTCACTTTTAATTCGAGCATAAGTTCGCGATGAAAACTCGCGCCGGGAAATTCTTTCGCGAGTGTGAACAAACACAATTGGACTATGTATTCGCGTGTTCATTCATGTAGTGGAATTTTGGGGGAATTGAATAAAACAGGTAAAACGAAAATGTATAAGTGACTTAATTTTTTGCCAAAAAAAGTTGCAACTTTAAACCGCTGTAATTAATAAACGGAAATTGATAGAAACATTAATTAAACTGTACTGGATAGATAATTTAATTACCTTTCAAATGATATAAAGAAATATTGTTTTTGTTTAAAAACTTTTGTGATAATTTGATTTTTTCAAAAAAATGACTTTTTTTTCTCAAAAATTTCGGTAAAATTTTAAACTCGTGTAACTCCTAAACTATTTGTTTAAAACAAATTATTTAAAGATAAATAGACAGATAATTGAATTACCTTTCTAAAATTACCAATCTATATAAGTTTTATTTATTAACTTATGGAAAAATTTTGATTTTTCAAAAAAAATATTTTTTTCCGTCAAAATATTAATAAAACATTTTTTTGTAATTTTAAAAAGCTTGTAATTCCTAAACAATTCAACAAAAGTTAATTATTTAAACATAAATTAATAGATAATTTATCTGACTATACATTGATATGATTAAATGATTTATACCTGTTGATTAGAATTTGTTATTAATTTTTAAATCAAAAAAAGCAAAAAAACTTGAATTTTTTGATTTTGCAACTTTAACCCTTAATAACTTCTAAACAAATTATCAAAATTTAACAAATTATACACCAAATGAAAGATAATTTAATTATTTATCAACCCACAAAATATCAAATTCCAACCATTTTTATTTTATTATTAATCGCGGTTAATAACAAAATAAAAACTTCCATAATTCATTTCTCAATAAATTTAGCTCAAAATATTTATTTCCCTGCATATTTCGATATTAAAAGCTGGCTGTACGCGTTCATGGATGTTATTCTCACCTCTTGGGGCCACTTAAACGCCATAGGTGTCGACGGCGGCCGTCGTCGGCGGCGGCGCGCCATCAACTTTTCATTAACTCCCTGCACCAGCACGCAGCGCCTGACTTTTACTTTTCGCTCTCAAATATTTTATTCCCGATTGCATCCAGACGCGCCTGCATACTTAATGCTTTTTGTTGTAAACAGGACGAGATCGCAGCAACCAAACCACAGCAGGCGTATTCAAGGTTCTTGACCTCGCGACGAATTAAATTCGGATCTAAACAGTGTGAAAATAATGTGCGCAAAGTGCTTATAGAATATGCATCATACGAACTTTCATCAAGTGGGGGCTGATATGGGGGGTAACGGACAGATGACTCCTTCGACGGATTGTTGTTATCCTTCGGATGCGTGGCAGTACAACGGGATTACGCCTATGAAACAAATTGAAGGTAAATTTTTAAATTTTGGATTTTAATTATGATTTATTAATTAACTATTGAGGCTAGAAAGTTGTGTGATGGTTTGTTTTAAGGAGAATTTAATTGTCTTTTAGTGTGTTTTTAAATTTTGATTTTTGCTAAAATAGTTTTTTAGTAAATTAAGTTTGAGTAAAAATTTTTACATTAAAGTTAAATTTTTTTTGCTCTAAAAATGTTTAATTTTTAACAGGCTGTATCTTTTTAACTATAAGGGATACAAAGTTGATTTATATCTCATTTTAAAGATATAAACTTTTATAAAATAGTGAAGATTTAATTGATACCTTAAATAGTTTTTAATTAATTGCAAAATAATCAACTTAAAACAAAAATTTCTTTAAAAAACGTTATGTCAACTTTAACACCCTGTAACTTTTTCACCCTGTAACATATACTCCCTAAAATAATCTCACTTGATAGATAATTTAACCCCCTACAATCCTCTTAAAACAATTTCCCTCTATCTTCAATACTTTTTGTTTAAACTCAATTTTTATAAACTATTACACATTATCTCATCACCACGAATGACTTTTCCCCAAATTTGCCTCTGGAAATTGATGAATATTAATCACAGCCGTCGGCGTAAATCTTCCTGAGGCGTGCGCGCGTCTAAACGACGCTTTAATTGCATCTAAATCAACGTGGCGCACTCGTTAGCGCGCACAAATTGCTCGCGCAGCAGAAAAACGGCTAAAAAACGCCGAAACCATCCAAAAATGCGACTTAATTAGCCGTGCGCCACGAAACTACGCGTCGCACGGCGGAATTTCAGACATTTCAGCGTTTCGCTCCTGAAGTGTACAAAGTAGTACATCTCGGCCGTCGGATGACTACTAAATCACTCCGTGTGGCTTAAATCTAGACTGTGGAATGACTTAAGTAAGTTACAACTTCAAAACAAAAGAATTAAACCAAAATAAGAATAAGAATACAGATTTGGGAAATTTGGAAAAATGTTTGAGACAAAATTTTGAGACGCGATAACTTTTTTAGTAAAAGATGAAAATTAATTAATTAAACGTCATTAGAAACATAATTTAATTTTTTATATATGTGTTAAACTCATATTTGGTTATAAATTTTAGTTTTAAAGTTATTTAGCTTTACTTAAACTAAATTATAAAGAATTACTTTTTTGGTAAAAAAATAATTAAACTTTGCGCGTCAATAACTTTTAAACAAACAATCAAAAAATAATAAATTATACGTCATTAGGAGTGTAATTTAATTAGCTATACGTTTACGAAATATCAATTGTTAATAATAATTAGTTTGAAGGTTATTTTAGTTTATGTAAAAAAGTGTAATATTTAACAAAATTTTTCTTGGAAAACAACACAAATTAAAAGCTTAATAACTTTTAAATTATTTACACTAATTAAACAAATTATAGGGGAAGGTAGCATAATTTGGAACAGCGCCTAAGTTGGACCACCACGATATCCGCGGACTGTTGAAGTTTATGCATAAATTGACTGGCCCCTTGTTTTACTCGTATTTATAAACAATTAATGCAACTATTTGGGTTAAAACTTGCCGCGTGCTTTCGTCGTGACAACAACTTCGTGTATCATTGATTATCAAATCTATTATAACGACGTAAGTGCAAGAGCTGTCAAGCCGTTAAAACGTTAGTTTTACCGATTATTATTTTATCATCAGAAAGCTTCTTTATTTATCTATAATTTATAGTATTAATTTTGACAGGTTATGTTATATTAAGATTGTCGTTGATCATTAAATATAAATTCTTCAAGTTGCCGAAGTTGGACCGTAGACAGGCACCGGGGTTTTAACAGGGAAAACGTATATCATTTTTTCGACCTCCTAGAAAAGCTTGTGGACGAGCACAAATCTTCGAAATGATCCACTGTATGAAATGCCGCACTTTGGTTTATACAAAATGTGCTTGTGTTACTGCTAAAACTAAAATTTACTATTGTGTCAATTGCCGTTAAAAAAGCATGGTCCAATTTAGGAAACCGGTTTCTTAATTTGGACCAAAAACACAATTTTTTTAAATTGAAATTTGAGGGGTATAAATATAATTTTTACTTAAACCAAAAATATCATTTTGTTGGTAAGCCTTGTGAGTTACTTTTCCGCTACTTACTTTTTATTGACAGTTTATATGTGGCTCTATAAATCAAAAAATATAAAAATGGTCCAAATATGGCTACTTTCCCCTACGTCCTTTGATAGGCAATTTAATTACCTGTCCATTCTCTAAATAAAAATAATTTCAAACAATTAATTCATCCACAAAATTTCTAAAACTAAAAACTATCAATACTCACATTTTCTTTCTTTCCATTTAGCATGTCTACAAATTGCTGGCAAAGACAGAAGAGCATACTCACCCTTATCACACGCCGACTCGATGGTGATCGAAGAACTAGATAACAACAACCGCGCGCCTAAACAGAAATCAGCGAATGTGACAAATTGCGCAGCTTTAAACTCGACGAATGCTCTGTTGGAAATGAAACCACTTTGGGATGAGTTCCACACACTTGGCACCGAGATGATAGTGACGAAAGCTGGCAGAAGGATGTTCCCCACGTTCCAGGTGCGTCTCTGCGGGCTGGAACCCAATGCGGAATACATGCTGATGATGGATTTTGTGCCTGTGGATGACAAGAGATATCGATATGCATTTCACAGGTGAGAAAATAATAAGTTTTAAATTTTGGATTTTTGGGAAAGTTTAAAGAAGGATTACAGGGGAAGTATTAGGAGTAGAAGGGTGGCGATTAAGGGAGAAGATGTAGATTTTATTAGACTTTCAGATTTTGTTTATAGTAAAGTGGTATTATGATTAGTTTAGTTGTAATTAATTAATTTGTGGGGAAGTGATTTTTTTTCATGAGTTAAAAGAGAAAACTTGTTTTTTTTTAATTTAAACAATGATTACAAGTAAACAAAAATGGTAAAAAGGTGAAATTTATTGTAAAAGATGAAGAATTTAATAGACTTTTAAATTATCTATAAACCAACGTAACATTTTAATTAGTTTTGTCGTAATTAATCAAAATATTTAAAAAATACTTCGCATCTCTTAAAATTTAAAAACAATAAAATTACAATTTTAACTCACGATAACACAAAAACTAACAATGATAAATACTCCTACTTTTCACTAAGCTATAAAAAATTTATCCACCTTTCTCCCCTATAAAACTAACCATTCTACCCCTATTTTTACAACCCCCAAACTAAATTCCCTAATAATAAACATTTTTTCACTGTTTTTACTCTTTTTTTCTCCAAAAACCAGCTCAAGTTGGGTGGTAGCAGGTAAAGCCGACCCTGTCAGCCCTCCCAGGATACACGTCCACCCCGATAGTCCGGCAAGTGGCTCACAATGGATGAAGCAAGTGATATCCTTCGACAAATTGAAACTAACCAACAACCAGATGGACGATAACGGCCACATCATTCTGAATTCGATGCATCGATATCAACCACGGTTTCATGTCGTTTATCTACCACCCAAGTCTTGCAAGGCACATGATATGGACTGTTCGAATAATTTCCGGACGTTTGTCTTCAGCGAGACGTGTTTTACTGCCGTTACAGCATATCAAAATCATAGGGTAAGTTTGGGGATGGATTAAGGGTAGAAAGGGTTAAGGGAGGAGGATTTTTAATGGTGGGTTTTGAAGACAATTTAATTTAGTGTTATTTTGTGAAGAAAAATGTTTAAAATGTTAAAGGGTTAAAGTGTGAGGTTAAAATTAGTAAAAAGAAATTTTTTGGGATGGTAAAATTAAATATTTTGTTTGTTGTTTGTTTATGAATAATTGGTTAAGAATAGGAAATTGGTTAAAAGGTTGTTTTATAGAGAATTTAATTGACTATGAAATAAAGTAAAATAAATAATTGCAATATTTTAAATAGTTTAAAAGTTATAACAAAAAATATCGAAAAAATCAAGACGCAACTTCTCTAAACAATTTTAACTAATTTTTTTAGTTTTTAATTAATTATAAACAAATCGTTATGGCAAAATAGCTAAAAATCTCAAAATATACACAAAATTTAATTGGCTGTAAAATAATGTTTAAATAATTGTCATATTCCAAAAACTTTTAAAGTTGCAACAAAAAATATGAAAAGAAAAAAAATCAAAACGTAACAATTTAAACACACAAATATTTCGTTTTCAATTGATTATAAACAAACCAACAATGCAAAATACTTGAAAGTCTCAAAATATAACCTTAATTTAACCCTCTATGAATAGTTTTTAAACAATTAAAAAATATCAATTACTTTCCCCAAAAACACAAAAAAAACTAACAAAAATCATTACCTTTTCTTATTTATAGATAACCCAATTGAAAATCGCCTCGAATCCATTCGCCAAAGGTTTCCGCGACTGTGATCCAGACGACGGGTAAGCAACACACATACATACACATACATAACATAACCTTAAATTACACCTACCGAATTCACCATCCGGTGTCGCCGTACCACCGCAAAACACATAAATGTCGCACAGCGTAATTTCTTACTCCACCGCTGGCCATAAACACAATTAGAAGAAACACGCGCCATCTGAAAGACATTTTGATATTCAGTATTCAGTTTAAAAATAATTTGTGTGTTTGTGTGTTGTGTTGTGTAGTGAGGCGCCAAGCGTGCAGCCGCAGGTCAGCCCTAAGCCGAAGACGCCGACGCAGCGCAACTCCAACGCCGTCAACAATCCCGGCAGCGCTAATTCGAACAAAGGTGAGCCGATTACGACGCTTAAGTCACTTTTTATCACTAACAGATTTTCGCTATACGAGTACCGCGCGGGGGGAATTTACGACCAATTAAATTCGTTATTTATTGGCTCGTGAAGAGTTTAGTTTTAGATGAAAAATGCGCGCGGAGTAAACGCAGATGAAAAGAAAATATACAGAAATTTGTGTGGTGTGGTTTTTTAGATGGTTTTTTTATGTATTTTTGAGGTTATGTAGAGATTTTTATTATGATTAATAGGATTTGATTCAGTTGAGAGAAAAAAATTTGTTTTTTGAAAAAAATTGTAAAGTTTAACAATAAATTAATCGTATTGGTAATTAATATAAATTAATAAGTCATATATGGTTTGATAATTTAATGTAGTTTATTGTTGTTTTTATTTAATTAAAAAATGTTAATTGGTTTAAGAGTTATTTTAATTTTTGTTAAAAATAACAAAATTGTCTTTAAAATTGTAATTTTTTTATATTTTAATTAATAACTCAAAAACTAATTAACTTTTTTAAATTCTGTGAAAACTATCATGTAGATAATTAATTTTTCCATCAATAACCTAAAAATTATTAACTTCACTTAACACAAACTAACCTTAAAATGCCTTGAAACATGACCAATCAATTTTTTACATTTCCCTCACTTAACCACAATGTAAATACTTCACATTTTAATTAATTACTCATAAACTAATAAATTTAATTAAAATTTCTAAAAACCTTCTTAAACTACATAAAATTATCTATCTAAAACATATTTTTCCAAACCTCTACTCACTTTAAAACTGCTTTAAAATTAATGTCAAAGTCAAACAAACAAAAACCTCCAATTTTTGCTTCTAAATTGAATCAATGCGCTTGCGCACCCGATAAGTAATTAAACAGCCATCTGGTGCGCTTTGCCTGTTTGTTAGTTTGTGTTTTGATTTACGGCCGCGGAAATTCTCGCCTCGGCAGTATTCTATCAAGCTGGCTGAAGCTCGTTGCCGATTGTTTACACTGCGTCGGATGCCACTCGTGAGCTACTTCATCCAGAGATTATAAACAAATCGTAAATCTGAGCTGACTGAGCAGGCCTGAAAGCATCGAGCACTTGAATACAGGCATACAAGCGAAAAGTAATTAATTGCTAGAGTACTGGTCGTTGGTTTTTTCTCGAAAACTTTTTTGTTTCGTTTTCTGAAGCTCGAGGCATAATTTAGACAAATCTTAACAGACTGCTGCTGTTTGTGGGCCATCAGCGTAAATGTCAGAGAGTACTTTGGATAATTTATGACGTGGACGTCAATGAGAGGCTTTTGTTTAGTTTTCCAGTGTTTTTTAAGCTGTTAAAGTGGAAGTTTTTAGTGTAAAACATGGAAAATTGGAAAAAATTATGTTTATCAAGTTTAAGGTCATTTTAAAGTTATTTATAATTTTTCAAATTTATTTAAATAATTATTTTATGAAAGGGAATTTAATATTCTTTAATATAGTTTTTAAATAATTTCAAAATTATTAGTAGTTTGAGAGTAATTCATTAAAAAGTAAAACATTGATTATTTTACATTAAAAAACTCAAGTATTTTTTAAGTTTAAAACTAAATTAAAGTCATTTAGACTTAAGTAAAATTAATCACTTATATATCAAATTAAAGATAATTTACTTATCTTTAATAAATCATTTACATAATTTTAAAATATTAACTAGTTTTTAAATTATACGTTAAAAACTCAAAATATGCAAAATTCTCAAATTTATGTATAAAAATATATAAAATTCAATTTTAATCCTAATTTTACCACATTTTTAATCATGCTATAACATTCAAACAAATACTAAAACATGGACAATTTATCACTCTCCAAATAACAATTTAAATAATTAACATATCTTAATAACTTTAGACGTAATAATCAAAAATCAAATTACTTACAATATCATCTAACAACTTACTAGTAATAGTAACGCAACCCAACACACGTTCACCTCGCTGGGAGTATTAAACTATTATAACTCTAACTTCACCTACGACCCCTTCACCTTCACTATCGAAAACACCCGAATAATTCATTCGTAGATCATCGATACAATACAATACGCATAACATTACCAATACTGTCGTTAAAACAAAATCTTTGCAACTTTCACATTCGTCCCCCTCCTGTGTAACCATAGCAACCCCGATAACAATGACTCATACTCAACAAAACACACGCTAATACAACTCTTTTACTTTACATTTTCTCACATCTAGATGATGAAATTCTTCACAATTCCACATCTATCTCCCCCCACGCCGTGCAATCGCACCCCACGTCGATGCATCACCACCAATCACCGCACCAGAACACAATGAATCTCAACCTGAATTCAACCACAGCAGGGAATTTATTATCGCCGCTGAACGCGATCGCGCAGCCATACGGATCCGAACTCTGCAACTATCGCCCGATGTATCATCCGCACAATCTGCTGCACAATTACAACAGCGTCTACAGCAACGAGAAGCAGCTGCGGGGTAACTTCTCGAGAGTGTACGGCAACTACGAACATTTCTATCCGAATCAACTGCGGCAGAATGGGTATGAATTCACACCAAGATAAGATTATTTTTTATTTAATTGAAATATAATTAAGTAAATTTAATTAAGACCAAAGAAGACCAAAAATGTAAAATGTGAAGCGAGATTAATGTTAATTTTTAATTATTATGCATGAAATATAGATTTTTTTCGAAAAAAAGATGATATATATAAATTGTATTTTTAAACAATTAAAAATTATTTATAATAAATATTTAATGTAATAAATATATTTTCAACACATTTTTTGTGGTAATTTTGGTCGTTTTTGTGATGATAATAATAGGGTAAAGTTTAGGATTAATTTAAGTATATTTGTCGTTATCACAGAAGATTCGTTTAAAGATTATTTGATAGATAATTTAATTGGGAATAATAATCTTTTTACAAAATTTGGTTAGGTTTAATAGTTTCGTTGTTATTAATTAAAAACTAATAGAAATCATTTTAAAATTAAAATTTTCTTTTTTAAATTTTAAAAGTAAATTAATTGTACTTCCGATTGTGATTACAAGTTGAAAGTAATTTTGTTAGATAGATAATTTAATTAACTATCACGTACTTTTTACTGAATTTAGGTATCTTTGATATTTTAGACGTAATTAATTAAAAACTAAAGAAAATCAATTTAGAAAGAACACATTTCAGTCATTATCAAAACTACAACTTTAAATCAATATTAATTACATTTATAATTATCGCAAAAATACCAAATAAATATTTTTAGATAGATAATTTAATTATCTCCAAAAAAACTCTTTAAATTTTTTAATTATCTTAATTACTTTATCCATAATTAACAAAAAACTAAAAAAAAATCAAAAATTTTATCTTTTTTCACATAATTTTGATATTAATGACCAAAAATCACCTAAAAATAATATTCTATCATGATTCTATCGTGATATATGATGAGTTAAAATATGGACCACCCCTCTAGACACTTTACAACCCCCTACACCCCTCCACAAAATAATCTGAAGCATTTTTAAAATGTTTTTTGTTTCTTCACGTTCCTCTATGACGTGACTTTTTGCTCAGTCAAAATCTAAACTATAAACGACTTATACCTAAGCCACTAAGTCAATTTTAGACTGGTAGTACTTTGTACTTTCTAGGGCCTCTGCCCGGCAATAAATCACTTTGGCGTATCACTCTCGCTTGCACATCTCACTTCTCAAAGTCGCGACGCATCTGACGATCTGACTCAGCTCGACTCCCAAGTCGACGGAACACACATGTGACTTGAAGTTAAGTCAGTCATAAACAAGTTGTAACGTTCGCAACGTTCGTAAGCGATAGGTGACATTAACAGCGGGTGTTCTTATCTATGCAAACACGTGGCATATTAATATTTTTGTAGCAAAAAAAACAAATAGGGAAAAGGAAGGAAAATATAGTTTGAAGCTAATTTTGAGGTACTTCCGGTTTAGGGAAATTGGTCATCTATATATCATTTTGTAGGTAAATTTATAGAGTTTTAGAATATTTTTGGTGAATGTAGATATTTTTAAAATTGTGGGCGTAATTAATTAATTAGTAAAATATTGAATTATTGGGTTTAAAAAATGTTTTGTTTAAAGTTATTTTAAGTAAACTTCCGGTTTTCAGATTTTAGTCATCAGTATATCAATTAAAAGATAATTTTATCCTCTTTAACGCACATTTTAGAAAATTAAAATATTTTAAGAAGTTTTTAAATTATTGCATAATTTATGAAAAAAAAATGTAATTAAACTTCAATAAAAAAGAAAACAAAGTTTAAAGTCAAATTTAACTCACTTCCGGTTGTGCCATTATGGACACCTATATATCATTTTATAGATAATTTTATAAACTTTCATTTACTTTTTACAAAACTCAAATATTTTAAAAATTCTACGCGTAATTAATTAATTACTAAAATATTACTTTTTTTCCTTAAAAAAATATTTTGTAACTTTAAAGTTAATTTAAGTAAACTTCTGGTTTTCTAATATCACTCACCCAAATATCAATTAAAAGACACTTTTATCTTCTTTGACATACATTTTACAAAACAAAAATATTTTTAAAACTTTTCAAGTTATCACATAAAATCTCCCAAAAAAACATTTCATATTATTTTAATCTAGTTAAACCCTTTCTCAAGAGTTAAAAATACTCTACAATAGCTCCAATTCCCCGCTGATTTATTCCTGTTTGGAAATAACTTAAGCTTGTTATGATCGCCCGTTTTTCAACAAACGCACAAAATTTATGTCCCGATTATTCGGCCGCGATGATGATGTGATACCGCACGAACGTTTGTGAAACAACAATAGCTCGCACCGAAATCAAAATAAACGTCATTCTAAAATCGAATTCTCAGTAAATCAAACATGAAACACATTGTGGTACCATCACAACGATCACATCAATTCATAATCAAAAAATATTTAACTTTCAAACACATTTTGAGGTTATTTTGATTCAAATCAACATTTTCGTTGTTTTTTAGAGTTTACATCAACTTAAACTGTTTCAGTTATTTACTTGTGAGACATTTCCTTGTTTTTTGAAGAGTCTGAAGGTTTCAGTGTTCAAAATTAGGCCGTGCAATGTTTAGGAAGCAATTAAGAATCGTTCAATCTTATTCACCATGTGACACATGAACAAAACTTAAAATTTAACAGAATTAACTCTGAAAAAACGTAAAATGGACTAAACCAGATTGAATTACTAATTAATCTTATACTAAAAACATTAATTTATCACCTAAACATTGATTAAACTTGATTAAACAATAAAAAATCAAATAATATTGATTATAACCAAATGATTGCACAATCAAATCATATTCCATCATAAATCTGTTGTTTAAAACCTTAAAACAATTAATATTAGTAATATTCTTTGTAATAAAGATGTATTATCAACCAAACATTAACTTTGTGTTGTTTGATACTTATTTTTGTAGACTTAATCAGATTTTTTCTTTGAAAATCAATTCACTTGCATTTTTATCGCAGCCAGATTGATTTTTACAAGTTTTCATCAAAAAAAGCTAAAATAAAACAATATTTTAATACTTATTCAATATAAAAGGTTATAAATATACTTATAGATGTTATCTGCAGATGAAACACTCTTTAAAACACTAAATTTCACTTAAAAACATGCAAAATATCTTGAAAACTGTCTGTTACTCTAACCTCACTTTTTGAAAGCTCTCACACATGATGATTGACCTTCAAACTTTCAAAACTTAAAAAATCAAATAAAATGTTTTACTTTCGATTAAATTAATCTATGTAGTTGATGTATTTTGAAAGTTTAACACCTTTCCTATCCTCTAAAGTCTAATTCATTAGCGTGATTAATGTAGCGATAAAAATTTGCATCACGCTCAGTGTCGCATGTCGCGTGTCGAAAATTTATGTCTGTGCGTCTGAATGTTTGAAATTCTTCTGCGGCTTGCGTGTGGCACGTCAAATATTCGATACATTTGTAAATCGTAAACATAAACCAGTGTAATGTAGTGTAGTTTAGCGAACATAAGTCAAAGTCATAGTGAATCCAGATGATGCGAAAGGGAAAGTTTTTCTTGCAGTGTAGGTAAAGTTGAGTTGATGTTAAGTTGAAGAAGAAGAAGTGTGCGGCCGCACGCTCGGATTGCAAGCGACGGTGCGTGCCGCCTCACTCATTAGTAAGTATTAAATTAAGTATTTGGTTGTGGTGGTGGTGTATTATAAGCTAAAGACTTGAAGCCGACTTGTATGTCGAGTAAAATTAATTTTTGTTTTGTTTTTTCTTAGGTGGTGTTTTTTATTTTTAGTTTACTTCCGATTTGTGAAATATTTGGTTTTAATTGGGTTTAGGGTGTTTAAACACTCTGTATATTGAAGAATTTTGTTGGAAGGTGATGTAATATTTACATAGGTTTAATTTGATATATAATTTATTGATTTTGATGAAGATTTAGAGGAATTAAGTGAAATTTTGTAAAAAATGTGGAAGAATGTTGCGAGTTTGTGAAATTGTTGATAACTTTTACAAATATTATGGGATTTTGATAAATTATACATCAAATTAAAGCTGGATTAATTATCTATCAATCTATTGTTGTATAAATTATTAATTTTAAGTTATAATTGCTTATTTTCTTGTTTTTATCAAGATAAAAATAAAGAAATTTGAAAAATTTTGATTATTTGTAGTTTTTTTTAATATTTTAGCAAAAAATGCTATTTAGAGGTATAAATCGTAATAATAATTAACAAAAATAAATGTACAATAAAAGTGTGCTTAATTTGATGTATAATTTATTGATTTTGATACATATTTAGAGGAATTAAGTGAAATATTTTAAAAAATGTGAAAAAAAGTTTCGCTTTGGTGAAATTGTTAATAACTTTTGCAAATCTTATGTGATTTTAATAAATTATACCCCAAATTAAAGCCAATTAAATTATTTATCAATGCGTATAATCATTTAAATAAAAATTTTAATGTATACTTGTTTATTTTGACTGTTTTTCACACCAAAAATGCAAAATATTTGAAAACACAAAATTTTTCTTTTTCTTTCGATTTTTTGTTATTAGTCACTACAAAACAAGCAAATCATTAGTTCAACAAGTGATAAATGATAATTTAATACCTGCTACAGGTTCAATACACAACATTTACGATTAATCATTGCTGTTTTTGTTTCTATCGCTGATTTTTCTCATTCGAAGCCGTAAAATCAAATCACAATCACATAAATCCATTCAATTGTATATAAATAGTTGTTTTGCACTATTCTCATCATTTCCATCAGTTATTCTCTTATTTACTAACATTTCCCGCCTTCTTCTCATCATCTTCTCAATTAATTTATTGAAATGGGCGATTTAAGTGATTTTAATGAATTAAGTGAAATCCAAACATTTTATAAAGACACAACCATTTTACTAACGGGTTGTACTGGTTTCCTAGGGAAAATTCTACTGGAAAAACTCCTACGTGCTTGTGAAGTGAAGAAAATTTATTGTATTGTGCGTGATAAGAAGAATCAACTTGCAGATGAACGATTTCATCAAATGTTTGAAAGTAAAGTAAGTTTTATTACTACGTACATTTATTTAACTTAATTATTATCTGTTTTTATTTGTTTCAGATGTTTGATAATGTAAAGAATAAATATTCGAATTTAAAAGAAAAGGTGTGTGTGATAAGTGGTGATTGCCTCATGGAAAATTTAGGTTTAAACGAAAAAGATCGAAATTTTTTGGTGGAAAACATCGAAGTTATTTTTCATGTCGCTGCAACGATAAGATTTAACCGAAAATTGAAGGCTGCTATACAGATTAACGTAAAAACAACTAAATATTTATTGGATATGGCTAAGGAAATGAAACAATTGAAAGTAAGATGATTTTTTTGGTTGTTTTGTGTGTTTTCTGAGAAGTTTTGAAGTTAAATGCGTTATTATTATTGCAGGCGTTGATTTACACCTCGTCAGCATACTCAAACTGTGATAAAGAAGTAATACATGAAGTGATTTATAAAAATCGTATTTCCGTGCATAAATTTTTAACGTTCATTGAGGATTTCGATGAGGATTTTGTTAACAAAGTTACTCCAAAGTAAGTAAAACATTAGAAAAAATAAGTTTGATTTTTAAATTGAATTTAAACTATAAAAACACTCAATATATTTAATTTTTTGTATATTATTATATTTGGTGACTAATTATCTTTAATTTGGTGTATTATTTGTGCGCATCGGGTATATATTGCAAAAGTTATGAACAAATTAGTAAAAAAATATTTTTGTTTCATCGAATTTTTCGGAATAATTGATTTTCTTTTTTAAATAGTTTATAACTTTCTTAATTTTTACATTACAGCAATAAATTATACATCAAATTTAAGCTTATTTAAATATCTTTATGTCGTGCAAAATTTGTTTTTGTGTAATTATTATTAAAAATATTATAAACAAAAAACTGAGAAAATCACTTTCTGTTATTGAAATTTTCAATTTTTAGAAAATTATCAATAACTCGAGTAATATAAGCAGCACAACAATAAATTATACACCAAATTAAATACAATTAAATTATCTATTGATTAAGTACTTATAATCCTATTTTAAACTATTGTAACATTATTTAATTTAACAATTAATGTTGACTAAATTATTTAAAAAGTGTTTTAGGCAAATTACCAAACACTTACGTCTTTACAAAGGCTTTAGCTGAAGAATTATTGCTTGATTATGGTAAATTAGAGTGTAAACTACCCATTGTTATTGTAAGACCATCCATACGTAAGTTATATTTAATAACAATTACATTAAATCAATTTAAAACGCTTTTATTGCACAAAAAAAGCAAAAAATCAACAAAAAACTTTAAAATTTTAGTTTCTTCGGCTTACAAAGAACCTTTACCTGGCTGGATCGACAGTTGGTTCACAATCGGCAGTATCTCAGCAGCCGGAAGTTATGGATTGTTACGCTCAGCAAATTCTGACCCAGATAAATTAGCTGATATTGTACCAACTGATTACGCAGCGAATTGTTTGATTGCGAGTGGAATAAAAGCAAAAGAATGGTAAATATCTACATAAATACATCAAAAACATCAAAAATTATCCTTTAAAAATTAAATTATTATATTTATTACTTTCTTTGGTGAATACGTAATCCATGTTGTATATTTATAAAAAATATTTATTTATTAAACATTATACGTGATTTTGGATTTACAATTTTATTTTTGAGTTGACATGTTTCGCCCAGAGGGCATCTTCATAAAAGAAGTTGATAAAAAAGTTTATGAAGATGCCCTCTGGGCGAAACATGTCAACTCAAAAATAAAATTGTAAATCCAAAATCACGTATAATGTTTAATAAATAAATATTTTTTATAAATAAATTATTATAGTTTTTATGTTTTATTTAAAGGAATATGAAAGAATTTGAACTTCCAATATTCAATTTTGTTACTTCGGTTGAAAGTCCAATAACCTGGGGTGATTATACAAAAAAATGCTTCCAGATGGGGATGAATTATGCCCCTATACGGTGTTGTCGTTACCCTTGTGTTAAACTCACTCGACATAAAATTATACATAAAATCCGAGCGTTTTATATGCATCATCTGCCTGCGCACATCTGCGATGTGGTTCTGTATGTTTTCGGCTCGAAATTCAGGTAAATCTTAATAAAAACTAAAAAAATAAAATATAATTATAAACTATATTAAATTCTCTATAAATTACACTTTAAATAATTAAAATATCTTTATTATTATAAAAGTTATTTATCTTTAAAGTTAATTTTTATGTTTTTTGTTTTTATATTTTTAGCGTGAGGTTTTTCTACAAATTACTGCATAATTTCCTGGATGAAACTTCATATTTCTCTACGAGGCAATGGAAATTTTGTAATGATAACGTACAAAAGCTGTGGAATGGTTTATCACCACTGGATCAACAATTATTTCACTTCTCAATGAAAGATTTCGATTGGGATGATTACATTTTAGAGTTTTTGCGTAACGGACGCGTTTATTTACTGCAAGATAGCATGGAAACACTGCCACAGGCTAGAAGACGTCTTAAAGTATTGAAAATCATACATTATATTATTATTATACTAGAGTATGCGTTTTTATTGTGGATTGATTACTTAATTCTGTGTTATTTTAACTTTTTGTAGGGAAAATATTTTAGTTTAGGTTTAAATACATTTTAAGTAGTTTAAACACCCTGTATGGGAATTAATATTAACATGGTTAGATGAATTAGTTCACTAGCTTTAATTTGATGTATTGTTTGTTAAATTTGGTTAAGATTTGTGGAAATTATTATCAAAAAATTAACATTTTCATGTACTACAATCGAAATTTGGTTTATTTTGATATTTACTTATTTTAAAAGGTAAAAACACTTTGTATATTAATAAATATGCATATTGTTTGATTCCTAATTAAATTAACTTTAATTTGATGTATTACTTGTTGAATTTAGTTGAGTTTTACGGGATTTATCAACAAAAAACTATAATATAATATTTTTACTCTCAAAAGTGAATGCTACTGACCTCTGTTGAGTTACACGCGACTTAAAACCAGTATAAATCTTTTTAACAAATTTGTTGATAATTCGCTTAATTTTCATCGTACATCAACAAATTACACATCAAATGAAAGCTAATTAAATTATCTACCATCAACATAACCTCAAAACAACTTATATTACCTAACTTCCAAATTATAACAATTTTAAAGTCAAATATTGCAAATTAAGCAAATTTTACACTTTCATGTTTCAACCAACTATACCGTATTTTTAGATCAAACCAAAGCGTTTTATCACCACAGATAGTACTTTCTGCGTGTATCCACCGCCTGTCCGCACGTTTGAGCGAGCGCGACCGCGTTTGAAGCCATTTTACAATGCGTTTTACGATTTGACGCGGCGTTAAACGCGCGAATCGACGACATGCGATAAATCTACGCGATAAAAACCCAACTTCAACACACGAAAACAACTATTTTAACTGGCCACAAAGGCGTGCACGTTTCTATTCTACATTTACCTATGTGTACACGCAGCAAATAAAAGCAATGCGCCACAAGGAACGACAAAAAACAACGCCGAATTGAAACACAGCGCGTATTTTTGTTCAGCACGTGTGTGTTTCCCTCATATACATCACATTCATCACAGTTTATCTGTCATTGGAGTCATTATTAACTTTGTGCTTCCTTTCTTCTTTTCTTTCGCTTTGTGTGGATGTAGTTTATGAATTGACTTCGAAAACAAAGTTCGTGCGCCAAGAAGTGATTTACACTGTTGATTCACTGGATAATTATTTATTTGCATACTAATTTTAATCACAGGAATATATTTTATGTTTTTGTGTGTTTTGGGCGTTTTGGAAGCTGTGTAATCTCATCAAAAACTCATTAATCACGTTTTCTTCGACTCCGGATGAAGTTACACGCATAAATCACTCGAAAAGTTTTGGAAACTTGTAGAAAAAGAAGTCGAGATGTTTGATTTGTGTGGTAATATGAGACAGATGAGTTAAATTTGCATTTTTGGAAGACATTTGTTCACTTTTTGAGTGTTTATATGTTGAGGGTGTAGAAATTTGTCACGGCCGAGGGTGGTCTACTGCGGGCCACACACAACACCCTTGCGAAGTCCTCTAGTCACCAAGAAGTAAATTATTGCCTGCACATGGTTTGAAATTAGAAATAAATCGATTTTTATTGAGATTTATTAAGAAAAACAAAGTAAAATATGTTTATTTATTTAAAACTTAATTTATTTAATGAAAATCTAATGATTAACGTATAAAGTAATAATATATTGATGTAAAATTTAATTGTCTTTAATTTGATGTATAGTTTGTTAAATTTGAACAAGTTTTACGCGAGTTATTGCAAATTTTATAAAAATAAACAAAACAAAATATTTAGATTCAGTCAGCGTGCTGCCATCTATTGTAATTTTAATAAACTAATGCTTTTAAATTTATTTTAAACAAAATCAATCAATTTCGAGCTGTCCGAACCGAAATTTCAACATTGTACAATCATCCTTATCATCATCATTTACTTCGTAATCATTTTTCCTTGTTTTATTTGATTTTAACCCTGATTTTATATTTTTAAACGTTTTTTTGATGTTTTTCTCAATTAAAAGTTGTTCTTCGCCGTTTTCTTGCTGATTATCGTGCAGATCGTAATGCGGAACATGCTCTTGATGGTAGTCGGTCTTGACAAGCGGTTTATCTATAGCATTGCAGGTAGTTGCACCTGTTGCACTCGTTGTACTCGTTGTACTTGCGTTTTGAGGTCGCAGACGCACCAAACGTTCGGCCTCGTACCAAGGTCGCAAAACGCGCAATAATTCGAACCAGCGTTCGCATTGTGAAGATATGGATTCGCCCAGGCCACCATAGTCGGACGGGAGGAGTTCTTTTGGTATTTGTTGACGCATTTCTTTGTCGGATTGCTCGATACAAAACTGAAATGTGAAAAATTGAGAAGATTTATGTTTAATTGGGTTTAAACAGTGGCGGATTACGGCCTAGGCGCACTAGGCGCGCGCCTAGGGCCCCGGCTGCCTGGGGGGCCCCGGCTGCCTGAGGGGCCCCTGGCACTTATATGTCCCATATAGACATAGTAATTCCACAAATACTTCATCAGTTGGTTTTGACCTCAGCCTTTATGAATAGCGTATCGGTTTTCGCTTGGCGCCCAAAACGGCATTTCACACGTGTCCGCAAAGCAACCGTCACGTTTAAAATAAAATTTGGATGTTTTCTGCCACGAATTTTTGTGACCTTTTCTTGAATATTGCATTAGAAAGTTGTAGCTATAATGCGAGTAGTATATTGCCATTTGTTTAAAATTTCGAACATCTGTGGAGGAGATGAGTTGAGGAATATTCCATTGAGGTTGTAAAATAGCGGGTAACTCTCTTTTTTGGAATATTAATTATTTCGTCTTTCTATCATTTTTTCACATCTGCGGAACACGTTGTACCAACGTTTATCCTCCTACAATTTTTATCTAGATTTTTGGGGTGGTAGTTGGATTAAAAAAAAACAGAGTTCAAAAGAGTTCGATCAATTTGAGACGGCACTGTTAACAATTTTCTGGAACAAACTTTTCAGGAACCAAAGACAAATATTCTTAATAGTGTTAGTTTATTAAAATCATTAAACGAATTTATAACAGAGGTCAGAAATAATTTCGAAACTGTTGAAGAGGAGGCTAAATGAGACAAAGAAAACGCAAATATCCATATGATGAAACGAACAAAAATGATACAGCATTTTCGTCAAGAAATTTTTTTATTGTCAACATTTTTTATATTGTATGTGATGTATTAACATCAGAAATTACTCGAAGGGGCGATGTCTATATCAATGTTCTTAACGATTTTAAAATTTTCTTTGATTTAAAATTAAGCCGTGTTGAGACTAATAATTGTGTAGAGCGATTATTGTCTAAGTATGAAAAAGATATTGAGCCAGAATATTTCACTGATGAGTTAACTCATTTTCTAAAATACATACAAGAAGAAAATATTAGAGATCCACATGAAATGTATGCAACATTAAGTAATGGTCTAAAATCAACTTTTCCTAATATACACACAATACTGCAAATTTTTTTGACCTTGCCCGTTTCTAATGCAAGTGGAGAAAGGACATTTTCAGTTTTAAAACGAGTCAAAAACTATCTGCGCAATAGTCTTTCACAAGAGCACTTAAATGACTTCGCATTAATGTTCATAGAAAATGATTTTTAAAAACTAGAGTACGACAAAATTATTGAAAGATTTCAAGCCCAAGAGAATGCAAGAAAAGTAAATTTGTAATTTGTATTTAAATACGATTACCGTTTTGAGCACACGTACGATGAACTCGAGAACCAAGATAGCATTGAAAACGATAATCCCATCGCGGATAGTATGGCAGAAAATTTTACCTGTGATATTTCGATCGGTTCTGAAAACAATTAACGCACAACACCGGGTCATCGCGAAGAGCGAATCGGAAGATAATCCATTAAATTTTGGAATAGTGCGTGTGGATTAGGCCTGCTGGGGATACCACGATAAAAAAAAACGCGTACTCTACCTCATGGTGGTGTGGAAATGAGTTTTTGGCACAAACGAATGTTGAAGTAGACTTTGCGGCGCCCTACGCTAAAACTATTAATTTCACTGGGCTAATAACCGTTTTTGAAAATTTTCGGATTTAGGGGCCCCAAACTTGATTTGCGCCTAGGGCCCCACTGAAGCATAATCCGCCACTGGGTTTAAATATGTATTTGGAATTAATTATTTATTAAGTTTAATATGGGTTTGGTAGAGAATTTAATTAACTTCAATTTGATACTAAGTTTGACATTGTGGGATGAAAATTAAGCGAGTTATTTATAAAAACGTTAAGCGTTAAATGTTATTTCATTGTTTGAGGCGCTACATTTATATTTTTAATTTTTAGTCATTGATTATGCTTGTATATTAATATTTGTATTATATATTTTATATCAGTTTGCGAGAGAATTTAATTAGCTTTCATTTGACACTACAATATAAGTTGTACGATTAAAATTAAGCGAGTTATGAACAAAAACATAAATCATATTTTTTTTAATTTTTTGAAGGCCAAATTAAAAATGTACAATTTTTAATCAATGACTACGTTAATATCCAAACATTTTCTAACTGTATTATTATTGTATTAGATAAACAATTTAATTATCTACTATTTGACACCAAATTCAACCTTATACGACACTAATTAAGCCAATAATTAACAAAAACAATTAAAAAGTCATTTTCTCCCCAAAAAATTAAAAATATCAATAAAACTCACCCTGGATCGTAGTTTTTCACTAACAAAAGCCTTTCCAATGGTAACAAACCTCTCAATATACTTCGACACATTAATCATGTACAATTTAACCAGTCTATACGGCATAATTTCGCTTTGGAACTTCGCGTACTTCCTAAATGTCCAAGAAAGTATCTTCAATGCATGTTTTGTCGTTGCATATTTACAATCAATTATTGTTATTATACCAATGAAATAAGGATGTCCCAAACAAGCCCCTAAATGATCTAGAAAACAAATAAAACTTAATTTTTAACAAAAAAGTTGAAATTTTACTCTACCAGTCATAAAAAGCGCTTTAAACAAGATATCAACATCAAAATGTTCGATTTCCGGTGTGGAGAAACCCAAACATGAAATTCTGTGACCTTCAGGGGTTATTCCAGGTTGACAAAGACAATAACTTAAACAATAATCAAAAAAATAATTATTTTTGTATTAAATTACGTTAAAAACACTTACAAATGTTTATATTGTTGAAATTTTCCGGTCAAATCATAAAATTGATACCATTCCGGAAATTTTCCAGGTTCTTTGTTCAAAAAAAAGTTCTTCAGACGTTTCTTAGCACGAGAATAATCATTTTTAGCTCCTCTTAAGATGACATGAATTTGATTCTCTAAATTACCAATAAAAATCAATATTTTTTATTTAAATACCTTAAAATACATTAAAATTACTTACGATAATTGTCATCACAAACACCTTGTACTTCCTCTTCAAACCACAACTTTAACAACTTATAATTCCTCTCATAATCACTTGCATTAAAATTATTCACAACTTTTTGTCGAATTTGTTCGTCTGGTAAAGGCACCAACTGTTGAACAAGTTGAAGCTCCATTTCGTACTGATCTCCAAGTGTTTTTATCAACAGAAGAACGCAAAGTGCAGAAACAGGAATTTGAGGTAATGAAGGACATCGAGAACAAGAAAAATGTAAAAACAAAACACAACATATAAACGTTTTTTACATGCGTGCAATTTGTGGAAACGTTTTCGGTGTTTTTGTGTGTGTAAATGTGCCAAATACAAGCAGGAGGGTACGTGGAATTGAAATACGAGTCAGATATCGATTTGTTATTAACATCCGGCGAGGACGTGGCGAGAGTCAAAGCGTTACAGGGCTATTTCAATAGAAAAAACCTTGGAATTTGGAAATTTTAAGTGAAAATAAATATTTGGTTTTATTTTACATTTTGCAGTATTAAAACCAAATATTTATTATATAAATTTACATAGTAAATATAGAGAATTTAATTGGCTTTCATTTGAGATAAATTTGACATTTGTACGATTTAAATTACAATAATTATTAACAAATTAAAGTTATATAAATTTAAACGTTATATGTAGGTTTACTTAAAAAAATACAATTTTCTTTAACAAATAACAGAAAACACACAATAGTTAGGAATTTAAAGTAATGAAAGTTAAGTCAAGCAACTCTTTGGCTTTAATTTGATAACTAATTCATATCCGTACGATAATTATTTATCGAGTTATCGTTGTTTTAAAAATGCATGTTTTTGCATTTTTTTGACGTGTGAGTTTGACATGCGTTGCGTCAATCAGCTGATTTCACCGTAATGGCCGCCCTACACGTGTTGTTATGGACCGTTGCTAAGATAAACAAACTCTCAAAACACTCAAAGGATAACAACAATAAATTCCAATAAATATAAATCTAAATAAATCTAATATAACCCATGAATAAATAATTATCGAATATGAATACATTTCAAATCACTTTCTACGTTTTAATGAATATCCTGCGTGATATATAATAAATCCAGCAGGATTTCCTTAAAATAAATATTGCTTTAAGGATTATGACAATGTTGATTATATGATAGATTGTAGCTGATGTTATAATACATATTATCTCGGCTTAAGATAACTCGGAAGGCGAAAGCAAAGTACATATTGTGCAACATCAGCACGTAACGCGCATCCGGCGGGTTTTTTCCGTTTTGCACGTCTGTTTGTGATGGATGGCAGGCTGGAAGGACGCGGAAATATGGAAAATGTGAAATTTAATGCGACGCCGGCGGGATTAACGCAATTCTCGCAATTCTGAGTGCTTCTTTTATCCTTTCGGTTTTTACACTTGAATAATTTTCCTGCCTGTGGTGGATATTGAAAAGGAAATTTATGACGGAGATGGAGAATTTAATTGCGAGTATTGTTAAGGTAATTTTGTTAAAAATTAGTTTTTAATATTTATGATATAAATGTTTAAAGTTACAAAATAGTTTTGAAGAAAAATTGTGTTTTGTGATTTGTTTACAAAAATGCTGATAAAAACTAAAATAATTAACATATTGTTATATAATTTGGTTCAGGGATTAACAATTAAATTTTACATAAACAATTGTCAAAATTTTTAAAATCGCTTTATAACTTTTTGAGTTATTTTACTTCAAAATCAAAATTTTAAAATTAAAACTAAAATTTTGATATGTTTCAATAAAATAGCAATAAATAATTAACCATAACAAATATTTTAACAAAATTAATCACAATTATAAAATATTAGTTACTTTATTGATAGCAGTTTAAATTTTGTAAATTGCATAAATAGTTAAGCCGTAATAATAATTTAAAGTTTAAACAAAAATGTAGCGTTTTTTTTGTTACAAAAAATACGAAAAATTCCATAAAACTTAACGTAAAACATTTTTTCGTTTATTAAAAAAGTTGTAAATCTAATACATTGTTTAATTATTAAATTGAGCATAAACTGAGCTCTAAATTTTTAAAATTTATTAAGAACTTTGATAGTTATTCCACTTCAAAGTTCAAATTAATTTTTTTAAGAAAATTTTGTCTTTTGTTTACAAAAACCGCATTAAATAATTTTCTATTACAAATATATAAACCAAAATTTCACCAATTATAGTTTATTAATTATTTTATCAATATTATAAACAATTATAATTATTATGCGAATAGTTTAGCCGTAATAATAATTTAAACTTTTATCAAAATATTCCCTTTTGAAAAAACACACGTACGCTTGAAAAAATATCAGAAAAATGCAGAAAACTACCCGTAAAATTCCACTTTATTATCTTAGAGAAGAATGCACCGCTAGAAAATATCCCCCTGGCGTAATAAAAACGCTCGTCCGCCGGCGATCCTGCTCAAGCCAATAATAAAACAAAGGATGTGCGTGAGAGCTCCGAATAGAAAACAGTAACGATGTCGTCAGTTTCCGTCGGTGTTAGTTGGGTGAGGTGCGGGGGCCGGCGCGGTGCGATAGCAACAGTTGCCTGGCGCGACCGCCGCCGCCGCCGCCTCCAGCAACGCCGCCGTGCAGAACCACACCGCGGGACTCATCCTGCAAACAGTCTGCACGTTGCACGCGTCCCAGCTGCGTTGTAATTGTTACTACAACGATATAAACAAACAATTCGAATAATTATTAACATAAATTGTTGCTATTTGAACAATTTTATTGATAGAATAAGTTTCAAAGAAATTTTTAAAGAAATTTTAAAGAAATTTGTTTTGAATTATTGGATTAAACTGTAAATATGTAAGTTATTATTGTAATTTTGATTAATTTGGGTATTAATTGTGGTTGGTAATTGATTTGTTTATATTTGAAGTGTGTGAATGATGTGTCAATATGGTTGATTTGGGTGAGAACAAGAACCGATTCGTATGTCCGAACGATCGTCAATTATCACTGAGAGCAAAGTAAGTCAAAGATTTTATTTTATTTTTAGATTTTTAGTGAATAACAACAAAACTATTAAATATATTATTAAATTTCAAAGTGTACTTGGTAAAACAATTTATTGTTAATATATGTTGCTAATTGCATGCAAGTTGTGTGGTCCAATAATTATTTATTGCAATTTTTGTAAAATAATAAAAAAAATTACGTAAATTTTTAGTTTTAAATTTTAAAGTTTAATAATTTAAAAACTAATTAATCGATTTTAATATTTTTGACACTCATTAGTGTAAAATTTAATTGTTTATGATTGTACAAAATTTTATGGATATATATTTGTTATTATTGATTTTATTAACAAATTATTAAACAAAAGTCCAAGAAACTTTTTTCTAAATCTATCCAAATTAATTCAAATTTTAATTTACTCTAACTTTTAAATTAATTAACTAAATTAAATTTTTTAAACGTTATTTTATGTATAATTTACTCATCTTCCAATATCAATTTAAAAATTATTAATATCTCTTCTACAAAAAAAGTTATTAACAAAAAACTAAACCAAATCAAATTTATATTTATAATATACTATTTCTGTGTCTTCAAGAATAACTCAAGCGAATAATCACTTTAGACGTACTAATCTCCAGAAGTCTCGAGTTGTAATACGTTCAAAGCTAATCGAAAACTGATTGCTATTTGCAATTAGCATGAAAGCATGAAGATGAAGCGTGTTTATTGCACTTGTAACTACATTTTCATCATTTCCATATTGATTGCGCGCGCGCTAACTGTGTCAATGACAGCCGGACAAACAATCCTGCATGCGACTGATAACAATGGTAAACGAAAGTGATAACGAGCTTTTTATCAGCAGCATGCTGGTATGCTTATTACATTAAATGCGTATCATAAGCTTTGAGGCAAATTAACGTTGGGTAAAAATGTGTCATAATTTGCATCAATTTCTTTTTAGTTTTTTGGTTATAACTTTGGTTTAAATTAAAATATAGATATGAAATTCAGTGGATATATTTAAAATTTATTTAGGGTTATATTAAAGTTTAAATTAGTAATTTATCTTTATTAGTTTTTGAGTTATTAATGAAAAGGTAATCAATTTCAAATTAAGTGTAATTATTTGCTTTTTGTTACTATTTTTGCAATATCTTTTGTATTATTTAATATATTTGTTTCATATTAATCAAAATAATAGTCATTTAAATGTTTGAAAAAATACAATTTAAATCATAAAAATCGGTTGATAATTTCTTGAGTTATTCAAATTTTTATCGCGCAAACAAATAAAAAATAAAATAAATAAAACTTTGGTTAGGTTTTTATGTAGTAACTTTTGTTATTACTAAAGAAAAATAATAAAACTTTGCATAAACATTACCAATCTAATTATACATAAATTAACGTTTATAATTTTAAATTCTTTTTATTGGTTTTTGAGTTATTATTCAATTAGTAAACAATTTCATAATTTTCTTAAAAATATTTCTTTCCACATTTTATACAATAAATCTTTTATTATTAAATACACACATTTGAAATTGCGTAGTTACATTGCCACTTTACCGCTTAATAAAAAGCACTTTAAATAATATAAATCGGTCCATAACTTCGCGAGTTATTCCGCTTTTATTGCGCGAACAATAAAACGCTAAGAAACATTAAATGTTACTTAGTCTTCGAGCATGTTCGATATTAAATTGCAACCACATTAACGCCTCGCAAGTAACACGGCGTGCGCTAAAAAGGTTCGATGTTCGCCGATAGCAGAATGCGGGGGCGGTTGGGGGCGGCTGATGAAGAAAACCGACGCGCAGACTTCCTGCCGACCGATAAACGTGGCGCGCGCTGACCCTAATTCCAATTGTAACTCGATTTTTTTCTCATTTTCCGCACAGCATGAAAATTGACACGTAATTGTTTATTACCAGCAGCTTGAAAAACACTTAGACACATGCTGCGCATGCGTGCCAATCAATATGACTTATATTTTGACTTTAATCTTTTATGTTGGTTTGTTGTTGTTGTTTGCAGGTTAAAAACAGGATGGAGCGTGAAAACATCATCGTACGGGCAGAGGCAGCAGTTGGAGCCGATAAATATCGAAGAACAAGAGACTATTATCGAGGTAATTAAACGGAATGAGCAGTTGGAGTGCATGGAGCAGGAACGAGTTGGAAAATTGATGGAACGATTGGAGAAACTGAGAAGAAATGCACTTGGGAAGACACAGAAGCAGTGTTTACTTTGTGGAGAGCATTTTGGTTTCCTTGGAACGCAGAAATTAACTTGCAACGACTGCAAACAGAGTGTTTGCCATAAATGTTCGATTGATGGATCAATTAGGTAAGAATTAACCTAAAAAATGTAAAAGAATGCAAATTTTAGTTGTGAAACTTTTCCATTTCGAAAATTTGTTGTAACTTTTTAGTGCATGGTTCAAATTTACTCAAATTACCAACATATATTAAACATTAATTGCTTTATAACTTAGTTTTTTAATTTTTAAAATGGCATGAATAGTTTGTGAGTAATTAAAATTTTAAATTAATAATTTCAATATTTTGTACGTTTTTACAAAAATCAATATAATTCAATCAATTATAACATTACAAAAGCTAAATTTATTTATGTTAAACTCATTTAAATTGTCAATTACATAAACTTTGAATGATTAAATTATATTAATTACTTTTTGAGTAATTCATGTTTAAACTCAGATTAACTTTGTGTTTTAGTTGTTTGTGTCTGATTTGTTCGGAAACGAGAGAAGTTTGGAAGAAATCAGGCGCCTGGTTCTTCAAATCTTTCCCAAAATTTGTACTGCCACCACCTATCAATTCGTCAATGGCAAGGAAATCTAAAATCGACGAGGAAGACAATAGCAGCGACGATGAACCGAAGCCACGGATGTGGAAAGTCGAGAGGAGGAACTCAAGTACTGAGAGTACTCAACTTCAAGGTATTATTTTGTCTTTTATTCTTATAATATTACAGGGATTAGGTTGAAAGTTTAGAACAGGGTAGAGGAAATATTTGTTTATCAGATTATGTCAAGTTTTTGAATATTGGAGTATTAATTTGGTAATTATTAAGGTTTAAAGTTGATATTAAAGCGTTTTTGGTTAGTTTAAGTATTTTTGATATAATTTCAAAATGAAAGTATGTACATGGATGAAATTTGGAGTGGTGATGAACATTTTATTGCTTTATTAAACAAGTTTTGAATTTTTCAAATATATTAATTAGTTTAGAAGTTATTTAGATTTTAAATTTCAAAAAAATATAAAAAGAGGTAAAATGTTACTTTTTTTGCTATAACTTTTAAATAAATGCTTCAAACTCATTCAAAATTTGTAAATTAATTGTTTATAATTTTATCCATAAAAAAAAACTTAAAACATACAAATTGGTCAATTAGTTTTAAAGTAATTTAGCTTCAAAATACATTTTTAACAAAAAAATCTTTTAAATTGTAATATAACTATAATATATTAATCACTAATACCTACACTTTTAGACTCTCTGGAGTATTCCCGTCAAGCAAGCAGTTCCGAGTCGCAAATCTCCAAAGACGAAGGCTACGATTTCGATACGATGTCCCGACGAGAGTCACTTTTATCCCGCTCGGTCTCCGAACTCTACTGGAGCGACGACCGCATCTCACCGGGCGCCTCCAGCCTGGCGTCCATCTTCAAAAACCCGGCCGATGAACGTAAGCAGCTGGACGCGTCCCTGGGGATCATGGAATTGGCGCTAACGTACGACCCCATCACGTCCACCCTCCACTGCACGATTTATCGCTGCAAGAATCTGATCCCGATGGACATAAACGGCCTCAGCGATCCGTACTGCAAGATCAATGTGCTTCCCAGCGTCAACAAGTCCACAAGGCTCAAGACTAAAACCGTCCACAAGACGAGGAATCCGGAGTTTAATGAGTATCTTACTTTTTATGAGATTACCGAGAGTGATCTGGCGAGGAAAGCGCTGCATGTGATTGTTGTGGATGATGATAAATATGGGGATGATTATATGGGAGAGATAAGGGTGCCACTTGCGAAATTAAAAGTTCAAAACACTGTTTATGTAAGTATAATTTTAGAAATTTTAATTTTTGAAGAAAATTTTAAGTAAATTTGAATTTTTGCATGTTTACAATTAACCTATAGAATTGAAACTTTCAGATCTGATAAATAAATTAATTGTTTATAATTTAAAGCTTAAATTATTACAATCGGTTAGATAGTTATTAAATTATTGTAAATTTTGTTAGATTTTTGTGTTAAAAGTGACAAATTTTAGTTTCCAGTCCAGTTTTTGTTAATAACTCACGTATTATTTAAACAATCATTACAAAATTATCACTGGCGATTGTTTATGCATTTCTTATTAATCTGAGCTTTAAATTATATAAATCCATCCAATACTTTTTGAATTATACTAATTTTACTTTTTGATTTTTAGTTAACTCTTCCATTGGAACGTCTCACACCAGAAAACAAAGTTCCTGGACTTGAACTAACAGAATGGTTTGATGACTACGGTACATCCCGAGGACAAATATTAATTTCTTTATGTTATAACACAAAGAAAAGGGCACTGCTTGTAACAATAATGCGCTGTGCAAATTTACTACCGATGGATAACAACGGATATTCAGATCCGTTTGTCAAGCTACACCTCCGGCCTGATCCATATCATCGAAAACACAAAACCACCACGAAGAGGAAATGTTTAAATCCTGTTTACAACGAAGAATTCGCATTTGAGAGTCGTCCTAATGAATTGGCAACGCAGGCGTTGCACATAGCTGTGTGGGATAAAGATTTTGGTAAACCTAATGACTACCTAGGAGGGTTGGTTATTGGTGGAGCAGGATCAAAAGGACAACGACTCAAACACTGGCTGGATATGATACATTATCCTGACCACAGGCATGAATTATGGCATAATCTAACTGAAAATCAAACAGAGTAAGGTATGTTTAGTTACAATGTATTAAAGTTGAAGTAATGACCAATCATGATGACCACAATGTTATATATCAAAAGAATAGTATATAATATGATATATTTTTGAATTTATAAGTATATATTAGATTGTTTTAATGGAGATAACTTATTTATATCATATGAAATGCTTATTTTTGAATAATCAAGGTTTTTGATGCTTTACAAAACGAAGAATTGTGTATATTTGGATAGTTTATATTTATTATGTCCAGAAATAAATTATTATACAAGATGAAGCTAAGCAACAAATAAATATTTTAACAGCTTGCAGAAGAATTGTTTATAACTTGCTTATAACTATTATGATATAATTTACAAATTTACAAATTTACAAAATATGCGCTGGAAAACGCCTTGTATCTCGGCTTATTCTTGTTCGATTTGGACGATTCTTATGTTATGTTTTAGAGGAAGGGTTTCTTTATCATCTACTGCTTTTTCTACTTCCTGAAGGGTCCAGAATAACCCTAAACAAGTCCTTATGTCATTCTTATGTCTAATGTCGTCTATTTTGAAGATTTGTGAAACACGCAGTCAAAAACACTATGTATCTCGGTTATTTCTTATTTTTTTCATCCTTTATGTCATTTCAAAGAGGAAGAGTTGCTGCTTCTTTTGATATACCTTTTGACTCCCTAAAAGCCCTAAAAATGCCCTAAAATCAACTTTGAAAGTAGTCCTTTTTTGCCATTCTTTGAAACACGCCCTCTAACACACCCTGTATCTCGGCTGTTTCTGGTTTAATTTGAGCGTTCTTTGTTTTATTTTGTAGAAGAATAATTCCTCCATCCTTTGATATACTTTTCAACCCCCTAAAAGCCCTACAAATGCCCTAAAATCTACTTTGAAAGTTGACCTTTTTGCAATTCTTTAAAACATGCCCTCGAAAACACCCTGTATCTCGGCTGTTTCTGGATCAATTTGAGCGTTCTTTATTTTATTTTATAGAAGAATAGTTGCTCCATCGTTTGATATGCATTTTAACCCTCTGAAAGCCCTACAAATTCCCTAAAATCTACTTTGAAAGTCGGCCTTTTTCACAATTCTCTAAAACACGCCTTCTAAAACGCCCTGTATCTCGGCTGTTTCTGGTTCAATCTGAGCATTCTTTGTTTTATCTTGTAGAAGAATAGTTGCTCCATCTCGTGATATACTTTTCAACCCCCTAAAAGCCCTACAAATGCCCTAAAATCTACTTTGAAAGTCGGCTTTTTTTTGCAAATCTGTAAAACACACCCTCGAAAACGCCCTGTATCTCGGCTGTTTCTGGTTCAATTTGAGCGTTCTTTACGTCATTTTGTAGAAGAATAGTTGCTCCATCGTTTGATATACTTTTCAACCCCCTAAAGGCCCTACAAATGCCTTAAAACCTACTTTGAAAGTCGCCCTTTTTTGCAATTCTTTGAAACACGCCCTCGAAAACGCCCTGTATCTCGGCTGTTTCTGGTTCAATTTGATTGTTCTTTGCTTTATTTGGTAGAAAAAGAGTTGATTCATCGTTTGATATCATTTCCGGTGCCCTAAAGGGCCTAGAAATGCCTTAAAAACCCTTAAAAGTTGGCATTTTTGGCCCATTTTTTCCATGAAATCTGAAAATTTCCGGCGAAGTTTTTAAAAATAATTCGGAATTATTTAAAATTCGTGCGAAGATCGCGCAAAAATTTTCAGCCTCCTCGCATTTCTGGGTTCCTAATATTTAAATCAATTTTTCCCTTAGTTTCGAGGCAAAATTGAACGAAATGAAAGAGAGAGACGGAGAGAGAAAGAGAGAGGCAGAAAATAGATTTCAAATTCAGTCGAAAATCCCGCGAAAGTTTACAGAGAGAGAGGGTGATACAAAGTCAGAGAGAGAAAGATATAGTCAAAAATCCCGCGAAAAGTTTCAGCCTCCTCAACTTTCTGTGATCCGGATAACACAACTCGATTTTACCACTGGTTTCGGCTTGAAATTGGACACACACACACATGCATTCACACATACACGAAATAATAAATTGAGAATTTGATGTTTTTAATAGCTTATGTAATAGAGAATTTTTTAAGCATTCAGGATCAGAAGTCCTTTTCCTTCTAGCCTTTTTAGTTCAGGAGTTATGGGCATTTAAAGTTTTATTTTGACTTCGCAGGAAAATATTTTAATCGAAAAATTCGATCCTGTTCTTCGATCGAAAATATTTTAACGAAAAAAGTTCCACCCTGTTCTTCGGCCGAAAATATTTTATCGGAAAAATTGTTCAGGCGAAAATAATTTCAAACGAAATAAAATCCAAGAATTTTTTTATTGCTTTCTAACAAAAATATTATTATAACAATTAAAAATTACATATTTGGCTTTGTAATTCGACTAAAGATAATTATAATACAAAATGGAGTCAGCCTTTTAACAAAAATCTGAAAAATATAGTAAAAAATCAGTCATTTTCCGTGGTCATTTTAGGGCACTTCGCAAGGGTTTAGAGGGAAGTTTGAGTACTCATTTTGTAGCGGCACTCTTCATCTATAAGTTGACGGAGGAAAACCCCAAATTGCATTATTTTTACAGGAGATACGGGGTGTTTTCCACCACAACTTTTAGAAATTTTCAAAAAATGACAACTTTTGAAGGGATTTTTAGGGCACTTCCCATGGGTTTAGAGGGTGAATTTGGTACTCATTTTGTAGAGGCACTCTTCATCTATAAGTTGACGCGGGAAAACCCCAAATTGCATTATTTTTACAGGAGATACGGGGTGTTTTCCACGACAACTTTTAGAAAATTTCAAGAAATGGCAACATTTGAAGGGATTTTTAGGGCCCTTCCCATGGGTTTAGAGGGTGAATTTGGAACTCATTTTGTAGAGGCACTCTTCCTCTATAAGTTGACGCGGGAAAACCCCAAATTATATTATTTTTACAGGAGATACGGGGTGTTTTCCACGACAACTTTTAGAACATTTCAAGAAATGACAACTTTTGAAGGGATTTTTAGGGCACTTCCTATGGGTTTAGAGGCTGAATTTGGTACTCATTTTGTAGAGGCACTCTTCATCTATAAGTTGACGCATGAAAACCCCAAATTGCATTATTTTTTCAGGATATACGGGGTGTTTTCCACGACAACTTTTAGAAAATTTCAAAGAATAGCAACCTTTGAAGGGACTTCTAGGGCACGTCCAAAGGGCTTAGGGAGTGGATAGGGTATGCATTCTGTGATGGAGTGCTTCCGCAACATAGCTTAAAAGTATTAACAAAATCTGAACATAATAATACACAATACAGGGTGATTTCCACCTAGTAAAAATTACTCAAAACATAAATATTAAGTTTAAGGGAGTTTTCAAAACATTTCTGGCCCCTTGAAAAGTCAAATAAAAACCGCAAAGTATCCGCAACTATTCGTTCATACAATAACCAAAATTAAAGACCAAATCGATCAAAAAGCGCAAGTTGGCGGTGATTGAAGTTGAAGTTTGTCCCAGGCTTTCCTTGGAAATACCGCAGCCCTTCCAATGAGAGATCCAAAACGTAATCCATTATGCAAACTGTGCCCTACAAGAAAATATAATAAATACTTAAAAAGCAACAAGACTCAAGAGTCATTTAATTACCTGCACAATAATAATGTCCGTGGGTTCCATGAATTCAAAAGTATCCCTTCTAATCCCGTCTTCTCTAGTATTCGTTGTTTAGCGCCATTTGCAACCTAAAAAGAAAAGCAATAAAATAAGTATTTTAAAATTAATCCAATAAATTTAATTAACTTACCAATAACTACGCGTATATTATTGCAAATCATTGGCAATAATATCGCCATCAGTCGATAATCCTCATCATGTTTGAGTTCATCTCAACGGCATCGCAATCGTAAAATCTTGGCACGTTTGTTGACATTCATTTTGGCTCTACAAATAAACAAGAAAATCAAATATTAAATACATTCAACTGTTCAAAAACTAAAAAAATACAATAAAACATACAAAAAGCAAACAAAACCGTATAATATCCCAATTTATTTAATAAGAATGAATAAATGTCATCTTATGACAAGCTGTAACAAAAAAAAGCAACACAAGAAAAGTGTTGAAGGACAATTTGTAAGGACGATTAGTCTCGACGCGATGGCAGCGAACAAAAAAGCAAGGACACCTCGCTTGACGTCATCCTTCCGATGGTCCGCCATCTTGCAACCACACAAAGTACCCGAGCATATGTAACTCTTGGCAAAGCAACGCATCCCTACGTTATGATGATTCACAACTGGAATAACGTCATCAATGGCGTCACCCTCGGCCTGTATGTGTGCACTTCGTTTATTTTGGTTATGGCTGGCTGTGTGGGCCTTTATGTTCTATTTATCAATCGGAAACGCGATTCCCTTCGCAGGCGAAGAAGCGAGAGCGCGCGATGAAAGTTTGGCGTCGGTCTGGCTGCCCGCGACGGCGCCAGCCGCCCCCCAACCCTTTCGCGGGCACACAAAGAGACTCTGCACGGGCGCAGCGCGACTTTTAACGACTTAATGTTTTTAATGTCGACATGTCGTCGGATGTGTGTAGATCAGATACCAGTATATCTCCAAAGAGTTCTTGAGGTCCCCGCAAGAACGTCGAGAATCGTATTACTAACGCCAACGCAGAACACTTAAAACGCCCCAGCAGAATAAAGATAAAAACTCAACAACGAATAAATATTTTGTTACAAAACAAAGTTTTTCTTTGACTTTAATTTTTGGTTTTTTTCGTTTGTCAACGCTTAATCATAATCAATCTTGGAAAGTTTGAAGAATCATACGCAACTTCCTGCGCGCGATCAATCCTGGAGTTCCTGTTGCATTTATTAAGGGAATTTTCGTAGATTTTGCCTGTTTCCGTTCTTTTATCTACTCGTCTTTCTTTGTGGGTTTTGGGATTTATGTGGAACATACGAGTACACTTGACCTTAGTTTTTATATGGCTTGAAATAACAAATAAAATGTTGAGAATAAAAAGAAATGAGGAATGGTATACATTTGGCAACAATTTATACCCAGTATGTGTCATTTTGAGACGTAATTGGATTTCACTTTTAAAAAATAGCTGTTTTGACCCTCGTACAATAAATTTGTTGTTGGGGACATTTTCTTTAAAATGCAAACATCCAAAACGATCAAAAGGCTAAACACACAGGACCCACACAAACACACACATGACCCACACAAACACACACATGACCCACACAAACACACACACACATAGGACCCACACAAACACACAGGGCCCCACAAAGCCCACACAAACACACACAGGACCCACACAAACACACACATAGGACCCACACAAACACACAGGGCCCCACAAAGCCCACACAAACACACACAGGACCCTCACAAACACACACTCACACCACGCCCAGAAAGTGCCTCAGTACAAGTACTGCTCCTGCACCTGAGGCACCCCCGCATGCGCACCAGGAAGGGACCCGTTGAAGGATGATAAGCATGCGCCGACTATGCAACGCATACCCATCAGGACAGGAAGGAAAGGACGCCGCGCCAAACTTACCACCAACTGCTTACCGGCAAAAAAAACCCAGACTTACACTTCTACCCCGGGGACAAGCTGGGAACCGACACAAATAGCACCGGATTGCATAATACTATATGGTTTTGACCCTGCCAGTGCAGAGAACCACTGGTTTAAACTGACTTCAAACCAACCTTTTATAGTCCCCAATTATCAAAATATGCAAAGAATTATTTGAGACGACACCTGTGAACACAGATCCCAAAACACGCACACCTTGTCAAGCAGGTAAACAGATAAGATGCAGGTACTTTCTACTGCATGTTAAATCAATTTAAAAACAAAACAAAAAGGGTAATGGGTTTTGAAGAAGGTTTTAGGACATTTTTCAGACGCTTTGGAGACTATAATGAATCAAAAATACATAAGAAACTCTTTCATACTAAAATAACAAAAGAAACAGTGACATCAGTAGAGAATATCAAGGAATAACACCCTCTATGTGTTATTCCCCACAGGGTTTGAAAATTTGAAACAATTAAGTTTTAAGGGCGCTATAGGGCATTTCTATGTATTCAAAAGACCTCAAATGACAAAATAACTCTTCTTTTATAAAATACCGAAAAAACAAAAGAAATTGATCGCAAAAACTACAAGATCCTGGGCGTTTTGTTTAAAAATGTTACAAAAATTTCAAGAAATCAAACATTTAGAGACGTTTTTAAAACATTTCAGGCACTTGAAAAACGACACCCGACAAAAAATAATAAAGCAACTCATCTTCTATAAACCATCGAAAAGAACAACAAAATCGGCCCAGAAAACCGCGAGTTACACAAAGTTTTGCATCTAATATTATATGAACCAAAAAGTAACTTTCAGTTTAAAAACTAATCTAATAAACCAAAAAATACTATTCATTCATAAACAATCTCAATTGCAGCATGATTCCGCTCAACACCTAACAATATACAAAGTGTTACTTTCGAAAATCCAATTAATCTAGTAATTCATCGAATGTGGGTCAGCACAATCATTAATTTGTTTAATAACGCATTAATCCAACGACAACTATTGCCACCACATCATCAAACTGCACCAGAAGAAGCCCGCAAATCGATTTCAATGAAGCCATCCAATCCACATCACAACGCACAGCGAAGATGCGATGCGATGCAATCAGAATAATTGTACTACCGGGTGTAATTTACAAATTATTACAGATTGCGCACAAAACGCTAAATAACGAGTTCCTCAATTACACAACATATCCACTCGCATTCACGCAGATTAATATTCCACTCATAGTCATATTGCAAAGATTTACTTACCAAATGCAAGTAGAAACAGAAAACATCCCCACTCGGCATTCCGCACGCCCACGCTGATTTCATCCCCATGGAAGAGGGAAAACCATCCCCGAATCTTGCGCGCTCATCTTTTTCACTGCCATTTCCACATTTCTAGGATTATAAAACCCTCGACGATATAAATACCACCCCGACAGTCCACGACAACATACCGACGAGAAAACATCCCGCAAACTAAACAAAACACAGCGAAAACACGCGATTAGTTTATTATAACTTAATTTATTTTAAAACACATTAGAAAAATTTAAAAAAATTAAAAAATAATTAAAATGAAAGTTACCTGCGTTACCAAAATCCTGCTCGTCGTAGGGTTGGTCCTCTTGGTGTGTAATCTTCAAGCGGAAGCAAGATATCTCCCAACACGAGGTGGCAAAATGGACCGCCTGGACAAACTGCGCGAATTGCTGAAAGAAGTGAGTAGAGTATTTAAGGTACTGGTCATTTTATTCATTATTTTTTCTTACTTCTAATAAATTGATTAAAAAATAAAGAATGCTACATTTCGGGATAACTAATTTAACGAGTGAAAGTGTGACGGGTCGGCCTCCCGGAATTCAAAACGCGTTCATTTTTTTTTTCATATCGTATAATCATTATCGTATTACACTCACACACATAAAACGAGAGCTTCGTTAATGCATCGACGAGTTAAAACAACGCCCATCCTCGAACAAGAAAAACAACTTCGTCGCGTTACGTAACTTTCACCGCAACCACGCGCATCTTCAAAGCTTCGTCGTAATTTGATTTCCAGAGCGGTTATTTTTATTCAATCACAAATACATTTATACTACACTAGTACTACTACTAGTACTAGAAAGTATAATCTTTATATTTAGAAATTAATTTTGTAATATATTTTATAAATTTGCAGTTGTTAGAGACAGAAATTGAGAAAGAAGAATATCAAGCGGATGCACCACCGCGATGGCATCCGGAAAGCAAATTGTTTTACAAGCGAGAAGTGCAGCAGGAAATGCCAACGCCTGAGAATGAACCAACGACACTAATTTCAAATTAATTTTTTTTTCAAATCAAAATTTTATCAAATAATTGTTGACGACATTTGCAATGATCCTTGGCCATTCTCCACACCTCCACCTCCGACTCTCCCCTTTAATGTTTGCGTGTGACGAATTGTACATAAATAAATAAATAAATGCTAAACATTGAAAACAATTCAATTAAAATCGCGCCACAATAAATGATGAAATTGTACATTTCTTATCAATACATGTAAAGTTTTAAATGTTGGCATATTTAAACGTTTTATTCTTCGACATGTGTATGAATTATTATTGTTGATTTTATTGTATGTATAAGTAAATTTTAAAACATTTAAACACTTTGAATGCAATGCTTTTGTGATGTCATTTGAATTTCGAGAAATTTCTAATCGTCTGCTATTAGGCAGGTGATTAACGGAAGGTGGAACCAAATTTTCCCTTTAATTACCTGCAAGGGCAACTTTCTAACTGCACCCGCTCACATTCCGCAAATTGGTAATTTCGTCAGTTTGACGTGAACCTTTAAATTATCAAGACCTATGTGCGCAAAGTTTGAGAATAAGTGAATCAAGATGAAATTGGTAAGTTTTTTGTTTTTATGTGGTGTCAAATTATAGACAATTAAATTGTTTATATATTATTATTAAATTTATACTAAGATAATATTAAAAAGTATTTTATTTTTATTTTTAAAGTTAAAATTTACCAAAAATATTCGGTTAAATATGATTTTGTTTAAAAAATTGTTTACTACACTCGTAATTATTTAAATAAATAAAAGCAATAATGCAGTATTATAGAGAATTAAATCTATAAACTGATACCAAAAGACTTATTTAAACATTTCTAGAAATATTTTATTTTTCATTTTGAAATTGAAAATTTACAATAATTCAGTACAAAACTTGATTTCTTAATAAAAATTATCACCACAGTCACAATTATTTAAATAATTTGAAAATAAAACCATAGTATTAAAGACAATTAAATTATCTATGAATTGATACCAAATAGTTATTTAAACAATTTTATAAATATTTTATTTTTAATTTTGAAATCAAAATTTTACAGAAAATGTGTTCTGTCACTTGATTTTGCTCATAAAATTGGCTACAAAACTTGTATTTATTTAAATAATTTGAAAACAATGACGCAGTGTTAAAGACAATTAAAATATCTTTTAATTCATTCCATAATATTTCTATAAACAATTTGATAAATATTTTATATTTAATTTTTATTTTTGATTCAACTCTTTTTACTTTTTCTTCATAAAATCACTGCTTTTATGTACAAACTCCTTAATAACGTAAACAACAATAAAAATAATTATTTATAGTAAGTAAGATAGTGTGTTAACATATATAAAATTAATTAAATACTTAACTGAATAATTTACGACAACTCTAACTATTCTTAAATCATTTTAGAAATGGAAAGTATGGCTGCGTTGCATAATGCTATTCCTCATTCTTGGAATAGCAGCTGCAACTGCACCACCAGTTCAACAAGAAGAAAATTCGGAAACTAATATTCTCCAACCCGATTCGTCGCTTGTAAGAAACAAACGTTTCATTGGAACATCATTTTCTTTGGACCACATGATCTCAAAGATGACAAACGTGATGGGAATCTTCGGAATGAACACTTCAGGAATGTTCCAGTTGCAGAAACTCTACAACTCTGCATTTTCTCAGAGTCACTTATTATTCAAACGGAAAATTTTGAATTTAATCATGCGGACGTGTAATTTTATTCTGACTTATCTCCCAGAGGAACCACCACAGCAACATTCCTGGTTTTCGAAAGATTATCGGCTTTCCTATCAGACACAGAAAAATCAACCAGGGGATGACAACAATGAGTTAGATTCTGATATTACTAATATAGAATTTAATGATAATGGAAGACCTGATGTTGTGACACAGAAAAGTTTAGATAGTAATATTATTTATCTAAATGTCAAAGGTAATGGAAATGCAGAAGAAACAAATACTCTCAGAAAAAGAAGAAATACAGATGTAAATAAATTGGTTTCGGATGTAATAGAAAATGCGTTGTTGGAATCTGAAATTCTGTTAAGTATAGAAGAAGGTGACGAAAATAAACTTCAGAATTTGCAAAGGAGGAAACGAAGTCTTCACCTGAATGTAAACTGGCAGAGTAGATTCTATGAAAATCGTAGAACCACCACAACTACAACAAGCGCACCAATTGAGATTGAGAAAAACGTCCATCTTGGAATAAACTGGGGAGTTAATGCCAATGTTAGAAAACAACACAGACATCATACTGGGGATTACCATGAGAGTGATTATATCGATGATGATGTATTTCTAAGAAAACGAAGACAAACTGTAGAAAATTCCGATGTTTCTGAAACTACCACAGAACCAGTCTTAGAAACTACTACTTTGGAACCTGATGTATCTACATCAGAGGATATGATTGCCATTGAAGAAATAACTACAGAATTCGCACAGAAACCAATAAACGCAGAAAAAAATCCTGAAAAAGTTTTCGTACAAATGGGTAAAGAATATTTCCCGGCGGAAATAATTCTAACTCACACAACCAAACCCAATCCCCTGCAAGAACGTGAAGAAAGCGATGAAGATAAAGAAGAAGATCCGGCGCACCAACTTCTGTATCTGGTTGATAATCAGAATGACTCGGGAGAAACTCCGCAAGAGATCATAGTAGATAATCATATTTTAACAGAGGTTATTAATGAAATGTCAAAGATTAAAACTTCAACTGAAGAAAATTCATTACAGAGTCTACTACTCATACAACTGATACAACTGAAGTTGATGATATGACAACTACAGAAATAAATAACGTTAATAACAAGGAAAATGAAGATGTAGAATTTACAGTATTAATGGAAAGGTTACAAAATTTAGAACAATTGGTAGGAATAATGTCTGGTATGATAGAAGCACAGAAAATGGAAGTAAATGTTCCAACAACTACAGAATCTGAATCTGAAATGACATCTCAAGTGACTCCAAGGATGCATAAAGAAAGACCAGAGAGAATTGTGTTTGAAATAGTAACACCACAACTTCTAAAGGAGAAAAAAGAAGAACATGAAAAAAAATTTGAGACTACTACTCTCTCCAAAGAAAGTGAAATAACTACAACTACAACTTCAACTTCAGAAGAAATATTGTTAACCACAACTGAAAATAATGATGATTCAACGACTTTATCTTCCGAAAATCCAACTACATTAGAACCAGTACATAATAATGTAGAATTAACTTCAGAATCTCAATCTGAATCGGATCTTCAATCAATCGACTACTACTACTACTACTACTACTCCAACAACAACATCTGAAATACCTGTAAGTCTTGTTTTTCCCGAAGGTTATTCCCCAGAAGAAATTGAAGAATTGACTAAGAATTTACTACACCATCGTCATTTAAAACACCTGGCGGAAGGCAAGCATTTGGATCACTTAATTCTAAGACTGGCGAAAGATGTAAACATCAATGATCTAACCGAAATCATGGATAATATCGAACAAAGGTTAGAAAATCACGATAAAAAGTTAATGGTGTTAGTGAGAAAGAAAAAGATGGATGATCAAAGGTATTTGAAACCCGAAGAAGACGATGAATACATACAGGATGAGATAGAAAGGTTGTTTCTGGAAGTAAAAGCAGAACATGACAATGATAATAATAATAAAGAAGGAAGATTAACCAGACAAACAATGAATGATGAAATGGATGAAACTTTAGAAAGTGTTAGTGAAAAAGATGATTTACTTCCATTACCTATAACATTATTAAAAGAACAAGAAAAACAGGAGGGGGTAAGAGCTGAAAGGAAAAGGTTGTTTGTAAGTGATCCTATGGGTACGACAACTTCTCCATTTAGACCCAAATCAACCACGATGAGAATGATTAATATGGAAATGAAAAAGATTGAAGATATACAAATGCAAGTCCAGAAGTCTTCAGATAAAACAATGATGATAAATAATGATGAGAAAATGTCTACGATGGCCATGTCCACACCATCAACTATGATTGAGAATATGCATAGATTCAGAATGAGAATGAGGATGAGGAATAAGATGAGACATCAAATTATTACAGAGAAATGTCCTCAACTCCAATGAGTGAATCTCAGCCAATTACAGAATCTACAACACATCATATTCCGGAAATGTCTACAACTCCAACAACTACTACAACTTCAACTACAGAAAGTTACGACTACAACTCAAATGGAAGTTCATGTGTCAAGTCATGAAAAGGTCCCGAATGTTTTACCACCTAGAAGGAGATATTCTACAACTGAAAAACACAAACACACAAAATGGAAGTTCATATGTTGCCGCATAAAATGGCTCCAAATGTTTTACCACCAAAACCAACTT